ATAATAGAGAAAACAGTAGATGAGGCAAAGTAGTGAACGAATGAACTGACTCAGGCTATGAGTGAGCGCCTTTTATAGCGCTCATTTCCCGCGCACTCTGAGGCTAAGATCGAATGCGCGAGGGCAGATCACTACGAGGAAAACAGCTGATCATTTACGAACACCAACACAACAAAAGTAATGGACAATTTCGAAAACTAATATTGTATTCGTAATCAGCATGCTCGATTACCCCCTGTGCAAACTCCCAGCCCCATAGCTCAAACTTTGCAAAAAAATTGATAAAATCGATAAAAGCAATTGATAATTCTAAAAACTAATCTTGTATTCGTAATCAGCATGCTCGATTACCCCCTGTGCAAACTCCCAGCCCCGTAGCTCAAACTTTGCAAAAAAAATGATAAAATCGATAAAAGCAATTGATAATTCTGAAAACTAATGTTGTATTCGGAATCCCCATGCTCACTTACCCCCCTGTGCCAACTCCCAGCCCCGTAGGTGAACTCTGCAAAGAAACCGATAAAAATCGATAAAATCGATATCGATCGATGACGAAAAGTAGCCTATGACACCCGCCGGGGCCCGAAGTGTATGTGTGCCAAGTTTGGTCCGGATCGCTTCATAAATGGAATTTTCTATTCGGAACATACGTACAGACAGACAGATTGACATAAAGACATACATACAAACAGACATTCAGCTTTATATATAAGACTAGCGACCCTACGGGTCGCTAGCAAGCGGGTTGGGGCAGACCCGTAGATTAATGCTGTATCAAACCTATAATTTTCTCAAGTGAATTTCCAAACTATCAGTATATGTATTCCCACAACCGCTCAAAAGTAGCATTTACGGAGATTTTCTCAAAATTTGGGCGGAAAGTAGATCATATCGCTCTAAAATATTGTTTTACCTCCCTCACCGTTGTACAACTTCCTTTCGTAATGTCACTATCGCACTCACGCTTACTTTTTGCGAGAAAAATCGAATCCACCCAGAGCAAAAGCTCCCAAAAGCGAGATTTGACCCCGACTCATTACATCAAGATAATTCGTGAGCTGTATAACGACTTCACAACCACCATAACACCATTCTACAATGACATCGTCATCGACGTGAAGAGAGGCGTGCGACAAGGCGATACTATATCGCCGAAACTATTCAGTGCCGCTCTAGGGAACGTCATGCGTAAGTTGGAATGGGACAACATGGGAGTGAAAGTCGACGGCCGGCATCTACACCACCTTCGCTTTGCTGATGACATCGTATTGATAACACCAAGCATCACGCAGGCGGAACAAATGCTGGCCCAGCTTGACGAAGTGTGTGGAAATCGGTCTACGGTTGAATCTAACGAAGACGATGTTCATGAGGAACGGAAGAGTGCCTGATGCTTCTTTCATGCTCAACGGAAACGAACATCACCGAATGCTCAAGCTACACGTACCTAGGTCGTGAACTCAATATGATGAACGATCTAGCTCCGGAACTGAGCAGGAGGCGTGCAGCATGGGGAGCATATAAGACAATTGAGGACGTAGTGAAGAAGACCAAGAAAATTCGGCTCCGCGCCCACCTTTTCAACTCGACGGTTCTTCCTGCTTTGACGTACGCTTCAGAAACATGGACAATGAGGAAGCAGGATGAACACGCGGTTAGCGTCATCAAACGAGCTGTTGAGAGAGTGATGCTAGGAGTGAATCTACTCACGCAAATGAGGCAAGGATTACGAAGTTCTACCCTACGTCAACGATCGAAGATTAGGGACGCTGCCGCGTACGCAGAACAAGATAAGATGGGCCGCGCACGTAATGCGTTTCGACGACAACCGGTGGACGAGAGCTGTAACAGATTGGATACTACTGGACGTCAAACGAGGAAGACCGCCGACGCGATGGTCAGATATGTTCACGAAGACCTCTAATAAAGTCCTTCAAAGCGTTCCACGTGTTCCTGGTGCGATACGTAAACAGTCAACAATCGCCCGAGACAGCGACGAATGGAGGCATTACTGGTACCCGCTCGTGCAACACGATGATCAACAGGGATACAGGTGATACAGGTGAAATTTGCACCGCGGTGTGCCAAATTTTTGCAGTAGCGGAATAAATTTCAAACTTTTAGGAAATAGCTTTTTGCGTTTTGAGGTAGAAATGGTTTGATAATTTTATTTTTTTCAGTCAAACATGAAGATTATTTTTTACCCCCAAGGATGTAGTTTACGAAGAATGAATGGAGGATTCTGTGGTATAAATCTGACATCAAAATCACCAGTGATTGCTGAGTTAAAACAATGCAAAATTAGGCTACAAGACTTTTGGGACACCCTCTATTTGTGTAGTGAAAAAGCTCTGCTAGGAACCTTACTATTTTTCGAAAGTATAAAACATGGGAACAAATTAGATTTTGCAACATAGACCGAGGACGACCTTTCCACAATGCTGCGAGCGATAATACAATACCGCTCACAGAATGTGCAAAATTTCCGTAAATGTCGCAAAATTCCGAAAATGTCGCGAAATTCCGAAAATTCCGCGAACTTTCCGGAATTTCGCGAAGTTTCGCGAAATTCCAGAAATTTCGCGGAATTTTCGGAATTTCGCGGTATTCACGGAAATTTTGCATACTTTGTGAGCGGTATTGTATAGTAATATCATAAGTGGGCGGGGCTTACAGTTCACAACTAAAAAGCGAAAAATCGATATTTTGGAGGTTGGTGAACCACCAAATCCTCAAAAATAGATAGAATCGGTCTTCTGAGGGCTGTAAAATCCCGAAAATCGACAAAAATCGATAAAATCGATACCCTGGAGGTTTCGAAATACCGAAAATTGACAAAAAATCGATAAAATCGATATTTTGAAGGTTGCAAAATACCAGAAATTGACGAAAATCGACATCCCAAAAATCGGCAAAATTGATAAAATCGATATTTTGAAGGTTGCGAAATTCCGAAAATTGACAAAAATCGATAAAATCGCTATCCTGGAGGTTTCGAAATACCGAAAATTGACAAAAAATCGATAAAATCGATATTTTGAAGGTTGCGAAATCCCAGAAATTGACGAAAATCGACATCCCAAAAATCGGCAAAATTGATAAAATCGATATTTTGAAGGTTGCAAAATTCCGAAATTTGAGAAAAATCGATAAAATCGATATTCTGAAGGTTTCGAGATTTCGGAAATCGGTAAAATTATCGAAAAACTAGGCGAAAAATTCGAAAAACTTCATAATAAGCTCATTTCCAGTGCTTTTATACAGCTGAATCTCCTCCAAGCAAGCTCCGCCCACTTTATACCCCACATCACGATCGAAATTAAAGAAAATAAGAAAAATTAAGGAAAAATAAGCCAAAATCGCGTTTTTCTAAGCTTATTTACTCCTTTCTAGCCGGTTTCAGCCCCCTAACCAAGTTCAGATGGCCGCGGGTAACTATCACACGCGCTGCACAAATAAAGAGAGGGGGAAAATGAGGGGGGAGAAAGAGGAGAAATTGCGAGACCCTGAACTAAAAAAAAAACGTCCGGGAAAGTTTATAGATGGGCTCCCACAGGCGGAGCCCCTGCATTTTCTCCGAATTATATGTGCTGTCCCCCTCGAATTCAAACTGAAGAATGGCTATCCCAGCCTGTTATCCCTACTCTCCACGGAGATAAAATTCAAAATATGCATCATCGCCTTTATATAGCGCTTCTTACGGTGGAGCTACAGCCATGATCTACCCCTAGAAAAATGGAGCTATCAGAAGTACATATCAGTGACAACATGATATTACTCCAACTCTACAACTTGCAGAGATATAAGGGCGCAAACTCGCCTTTATTGACAGATCCAAGTTCAGCTGTCAATTAGGCACTTTTATTCGAAACTTGTTATTCTACGACCTTCTCTCTAAAAATCATATTTTCAGAGATCTGTCCAATAAAACAAACTACAGCCTCATATCTATAATATTCGCAGAGTTATTAGCCCCCCAACATGCATGCTCAGGCCGTAAAATCGGCTCTTCCAAAGTTGCTCCGTAATTCCCCCAAAAATCATGTTAGACACCTCTCTCATACCTATGCACCCCATATTTTTTCCAGCTTCTTAGAAGCAATACACACTGATATAGCGCGCTCTTGGCCTCTCGCTCCTCATTCTTGGCCTCGGCGCAAGATTTGGTTAAAATATTGAGGTTCTCGGATTGACCGTAAACTTCACTCATAGTGGTTTTGGTCGCGATCTTTACGAAAATCTTATTTATTTTGCACTAGAGAGTCTTACAGTAAAGCTAAAGTGAGATAGAAGTAGCTAAACCAATCAAGATCGCAACCTCGCCTGCACTTTTCGCCTACCTGTTGCGGAAATTGTCTGCATATTTTTGTGAATTTAAAACTATGTGAACACCTCTACCGGACCATGCTTAGCGCAGATCTTTATCTGCATTGTTCGTCAGATTATGATGTTACAAAATCGCCTTATCATGAATTGTCTTTCAAATTCGAAAGTCGTGTAATTTGGCAGATATTCTATCCTACAATGTGTCACTAGCAGCAAAACAATGTAAGAAATGTTGTTAGCACGTCGAATACAATACCGCTCACAGAATGTGCAAAATTTCCGTAAATGTCGCGAAATTCCGAAAATGCCGCGAAATTCCGAAAATTCCGCGAACTTTCCGGAATTTCGCGAAGTTTCGCGAAATTCCAGAAATTTCGCGGAATTTTCGGAATTTCGCGGTATTCACGGAAATTTTGCATACTTTGTGAGCGGTATTGTATTTCGTATGCTAAAAATCTCTCAAATTTTCTCTTTGTACAGAAACAAACAACCAGGATATGTCGTTTCCTCCCTTTCTTCTCATGAATGATGAACACAAATGGTGGCTCCACACTGCTTTTGAGTTTCCAAAAGTGAAATGTACGCTCCTAGGTGGGACGCTGCATCTGATTTTCTGTCAGTGCTTTGACTGATACTCAAATATTCATTCAAAAATGTCAAGAAACAGTAACTAATCATGCACCGCAAGTATTCAACGGATCGGCACAGATGGCCTTATTTATGACTGGAACCAAGCTTCCCAGGTTGTCGTAGTCAGCAGAAAAAGTGAATTGACTTCCGTAGCTAAGTTGGCTGAGTCGAGCAACATCGAGGTTTTTTCCCATTGCCACCACGATCACCTAAATATTGAATAAGATAAAGAAGAACAAAGTTCTATATTCATATGTAACCTTTGATTCAACTGGATTGGTGGCTGGGAGGCGGGGCTTCGTCAGCCTAATTAAGGCCTCCCGCGAAGCAGTCTGCGTCTACCTGGCGCTCTGCTCTCTGATCATTCTCTAGCCTTAACTAGATCATGAAGCCCGCCTTCCAGCCGCCAATACAGTTGAATGAAAGAGTAAGGGAGTGTTTACCTTGCTATTATCTGTAGCGTGTATATTATGTGCAAATTCTTTAGCTTCATAGAAATCTTGATCATTGCTAAAACAATGTGATTAGCTGTTTTTTTAACGAAATTTTGAAGAATTTGGATAGGAATGAAAACGAGAGGAAGGGAAAGTAAAAAAAATGCTCAAAGTCAAAAAAATTACTGACTTCGGATTCTGCGGTACAAATGCGATGACAACTTTGCTTATACCATTTCGCTCTTTGTCTTCGCCCGTATCGAAGCTGACGGCTCCTTGAGCGTATTTGAAAACACTAAAATGGATTTCTAACTCCTTTGGAGGGCGTGGCAGTACGCAAAAGGGGCGTGTTGGAAGGCATAGCCACTAAGAATTGATCATCAAACTTGTTAGTTTTACTGACCGTTGCGACTCGAGATTTTACCTCGTAATGTCAGTATTGTTATTCTGACTAACGTCTGGGACATCCTCAGTCATGCCAAGAATCGCCTGCGTAAGTTTCTGATTATCCGCCAAATCGTCTGCAGTCCAGACTACAGCATAATCGGCATCGACCTAAAGTTTCGTCTTATGAGGTATAAGCTCCTGCAAGACGAAGGCGGTCGATTCAATGCGCAACGCGGCTGCGACATGGCTGCGTCACAGCCGAGTCACAGCCGCGTCACAGCCACGTCGTACCTCGAACCGACCGCCTTCGTCTTGCAGGAGCTTATAAGTATTATTTATGTCTACAACAGCAGTCGATAATTTGATAGAGCAACAGGTTAAAGTTACAAAAAAAATACAAAACGCAGGTGTCAACTCCTATAAAACACGATTTAGATTTTGGCAAATTACTCACGATAAGGTTAATCACGACACGGATTTTGTCCGAAGCAACGGTCCAAGTTGGAGTGAGAACATTAGCGACGAAGTTTAGCTGCTATAAATTTTCGCAGATTATATATAGCTCTATTTTTTGCGTCCTGTTACCTTTACAAAATTGTCTTGAGAACCAACAGTTGATAGTCCGCTAAGCATTAGGATAATATCCCGATTGCATGGCGTTGCAGCTGAAAAGGCTTTGAAAAGGTTTTTCGTCTATGGCTTGATATGTGCTGAGTTTTAGGGCAGGATCTGTATGTTGTCATGCTTTACGATTCTATGAATACTTGTTGAAAATTTCATCTTATTGTAAACTTCCCAGCTTTTTGCAATGTCCTTCAATCGTTTTCCCACTTGTTATTTTTTTTTCTCATACGTCTAGACTGAACCCTAAACTTCCCATAATCTGAATTTTTTAAAGTAAGATGCCTACGGTACGTTTTCATTTTTTTAGACTCCCAAAATCATTTTCCTTTTTTCAGCGACATTCTTTGAAAACAACGAGAGATTTTAGAAGTTACAAAGTCAAGAACCTTCCTCTTGGAAGCTTCTTGTTTACTCAGAAATTGGTCCATTAATCTTCACCCCAAGAAGAGCGACACAATGAGCATTTAAAATTGTTATGTTTCATAATGCAGTAGGTTAAAGATACTGGGTGTTTCTAGCAGAGAATGACTTACTGTGCACTGAATCGTATCGGCATTCAAATCCACTTTGCTGAATAATTTTGTCGGATTGAAATGTAACAAGGGCATTTCGTTGCGTAGTTGTGTAAATACCACTGGGAGTTAGTATTGATGCTCCTTGGCCACCAAATCTACAGCCATAAAGTAATTTATATGGTTACTAGTTTACTGGTAAAAAAAGACTTACTGCACAAGCTTGGGGCTCTTTATTCCATTTCCATCATAAATTGTCACATAATCACAGCATGTCTCCAAATCATAGTGGGTGAAGTTGAAGCTAGAAAAAATCATTGCTATATAATCAAAACTATTCTAGGAGAGCCTGGCTACCTGAGGACTTTTCCTGGTGCAGCCGTCATGTAATAGTAGCATTCAGTGCTTGGCGGATAAGGATTTGGATACAGAGGCGATGTAATTACACCTTCATAATAAAAATCATTGTTTGAAGGACATCCAGTGTAGCCAAATTTGCCCGAGTTGGCAGCATGCTGAAAACGTACCAAATTTGTTGCTTGAAATTATCATAGTGTTTCTGCGTTGATAGAATTCATATCATCGTGTGAGCTCACCTTAGTGATTTTTTGACTTCGTCCTCCTAAAGCTAGGACGAAGTGCACTAACGTGAGATTCAAAAAAAGTTTGAACATAGCGTCAGCGAAGGTTGGAAAGGCCTTATCGCAAAGTTTTGGAGATTTATGGCAACGCTATGAACGCTGATAGTGGCTCAGCACATGCTCCAGTCATTTTCTAGAATACTTTTTTCATTTCTTCAAAAACTTTTACTTCTTGTTCCAGGATTGTCTTTAAGCAAACTGTGTTGGGGCGGGGGGGGGGGGGGAAGCTCGACACCTGAATTCTTATGTGGGTACTGTTTAAAAAGTATTACCATATTGCCCACGTCTCAAAGTGTCATAGATAAGTAACTCATTCGTGACAAAGAAGTATGAATCTTCAATCCAGCCCAAGTGCTTCTTTGCGAGCGCTAAACAACATCCCTATGGTACAGAGTACGATGTGGATGTGAGTTTGCTCACCTGTAACGAATAATAGCTGTCTCTTGGGCAATACCTTACAAGGCAGTCAGTAGTTAGTCAGAAAGCCCATATCAATCTACACAATATAATCAGCGGTGATAATCTACCCTACCTGATGACAACATAGATGCTAGCAAGTTATCAGACATTGCGGAAGGATTGATCATAGGGATTGATAGCATACTATTTTTATCCACAGTCACTATCTTCACAAAATTTCAACGGAGTCGTCGCAAAACTATGACCTAGCGCGCGCTTAAATCTCCATGATCAACTTCGAACGCTCACGCGCTACGCAGTCTACCACCAGGGCCTGGCACGAGGTGGATAACAAGCTGGAAATCGTTTTTGGTGGAAAAAGCAAGGGGGAAATCGTTTTGCGGGGTCCGGGGCGGAGCCCCGGAAGAAGATTCCAAGTGCAAGCAAAAGAAGGTCAAATCATGTTTATTACCTTGCACATCTAGTTCACTGGGAAGTAGTTTTCATAAGCCCCAACGCACAGCAGAGTTCGCGCGCTAGGCCGCGCCGCCGCTAATTGCCGCGTGCGCGACGTCGCATAAGCGATGGCGTTGACCCGCATGATTACATGATCAGTTCTCAATGCAGGCGTAACGATATAGCACCAAATTACGTATGCGAACTAGGAGAGGCTAGTAGAAACAAAGTATGAAGTGTTATGAAAAATGTATATGAATGGGAGGTGTAACAAGCATTTTTTCCAAAAATTTTGCAAAACTGGTAAATGAAGATGTGAATTCAAATGGCTCGTTTGCAGCGCACAGATGACCGTACGGAATGAAACTTGGTCGATACATCAACACAGGCCTGCGGGGCTTAACCTAGAAGTTTCATTGAAAAATTATGTGACTGAAGGTTGTGGCAAGCTTTTTTCTGAAAAATTCCCACTATCAAGAAAAAGAAAATTGGCTCGTTTACAACGCAGAGAAAACGAAATCGCGCGAGACTTGGTGTGTATACGCGCAGTAGGACTAAGGAATAATGTATGAAAAATTATGAAAAACTTATGTGAATGAAGAGCATGCCCAACTATATCTTCCAAATTAGGTGGGCAATTGCCCACCTAATGCCCACCTGGGGTAGGCAAAACTTTCAATTCACATAAGTTTTTCCAAATTTTTACATAAATCTGTTGTACATTACATGATGAGATTTTGGTTTCGAAATCCTTCTCTTGTCTTTAGGAGAGCCCAAAATTGCATCAGCAGCCTAGCTTTCTAAGATGGAAAGCGCGCCCCAGTCAATCGATACGCGCGGGAACGGCGTCTTTCAGTCCTATGACTGCGTTACTTTGATACTTTCTTATTCCTTCATCATTTTTCTTGCTTTTTCTTCTTCCTGTTTTCTATCTTGATACAGGTGAGAAATAATAAAAGGAGTCGGAACATTTTGAGCACTTTTGAGCGCTTTTATGCGAAGTGTGGCCGGTGCTCCGTTGCACAAGCACAAAGCATCGTTTTTGGGCTCAAGGGAGTATTCTTAAAAAGTATTGGGATCAAAGGGGAATTCGTTTTTGTTAAACCCCGTTTGCATACCTTGTGCCGGGCCCTGTTTACCACACGTACACATACTGTTAGGTAGGGGAACAAAGGCCGCCAGTATGAGCCGCCTTTCTTGGCTAACTGATCCTTCGCAATTAGCTGCATGTCGTTCCAGGACCAGTATTCCGCGAAGGCGGCCATCAAACTGGCGGCATACGTTCCCCTATCCCCTCCTTTTCCAGAGGAGCAAGAGTGGAGGCGCAGGTACGCAGCGTCCGCGAGAGTATGAACATTTCAGTGCGTGGTAGACTATGGATTGATTCTAAACGAGCAGCTGTTCGATATGGACAGAGGACGCGGAAATCGTTCTATCATGACTTATAAAAAGCGGCTAAGGATGTTTACGTCTTTTTGTGTGTATGTCCGTGTGAGTGTGTGTGTGTCTGTCCGTTTCGAAATTCGTAGAGCGTGTTCCAGCCAACGTCCTGAGCCCAAATTCTGCACAGCGCTCGCTACCAGCATGAAAGCTCACTATACAAAAATATGAGCGGATCCGTTGAGTGGTCCGTTGAAAATTGCGCTTCAAACGGATCCACTTGGCTTCTGGCCAGCAAATTTGGGTCCGTAGTACTACTTTTTGCAGAGTTATGGATATATTTGACAAGTTAATGTGCAAGCCATGGACGTTAGCCGATGAAAAGTGATGAAAAGTCTACTACTTCACGAAAACAGCCTCTGCGAAGCAGAGGTGACGCACTGGTTTGAAATAATGAAGGAGTAAGCAAGACCATAATCTTGCGAGGGAACTAATTACTCTCTCATACGTAACCCAAACAATGATGAAATCAATAAATTTTGATGGAAAGCTTTGAAGTTAAATGTTCAACGGAAATTGTGTAATATTGCCCGACTACCCATATGTGCGGATGCGGCAAGCAGGGCGCCAGCATCTCGACGTGGTATGGACATGTCGAGGTGCTGGCTCCCTTAAAAAGCACATTATTTCTTTTTTCTCAGACTTACCAGCAGCTCTCATTTCGCAAAGACGAGGTGCCGGCAGGTTGCCAGCAGGTTAGCAGCTTGCGAAGTTTCCTATAGCAGTTTCTTTCTCGCTTCCTTTTTTAAAAAGGGTTTCAATTCATCTTGCGATGCATTTTTCTTTGAAGTTGCTAATCCTAGACCAGACATTCTCACGGCTTAGGTGGAGATCTTGATTTCAAACATCTTCTCGATTTGACGAAGGTCTGACAGCAAGACCTGGTCGCCAGGTTAGCGGACACTAATCAGCAGACAATCAGTGCGCAATGGATTTAAGAGATGAGTTCCTCAGAGGGGAGAGTTAGAAAGGATATCGCGGAATCGCGTTCTGTATTCTGATCGCAAGTCATCAGAAGACATGAAAGGAAGGCACAGCTGCGCAACTCGCAGCTGCGCAAAGATACAGCTGCAAAGTTAACACGTGTGCAGTTGGAGGGCCGGCTTTGTTAACTTCACTTCCATCCAGACAGCGTTCGCGACTCGTTCGTCAGAAGATCGTCTTCCATTATCGCCAACAACCTACCTCATATCTTTTCGCCTCATTTATTTGTTGTGTTATTCGACGCAATAAACCGTAAAGAAGTTCGTGGTCAAGAACAACAGCAAGTGGTCAATCGAATACAAGATCGAACACAAAGGAGGTGAAGCATTCTGTTTGTTAATGCGACAAGTTCAGCCTTTTTCTTTTCCAGCTCTTTCTGATTTTGTGAACTACTGATTGGCAAACAAACTGGGGAACTTCGACAAGCAGCACATCAAAACACCGCAAAACCGTTCAAATGTTCATTAAGTGCATCAGAACACATACACAAGCATACAGTCGAGTAGATTTAGCGGTAAATATAGTGTGCTTGCACAGAAGGTGAAATGCGGTAAAATTGGCGCGTGAAGAAATAGTTTCGACTGTGACGCCGGCCAATTGCGCGCGCAAGATACCCGCGCTACTGGCGTGGCTACTTGCTCACGCGCAAATTTCACCGCATTTCACCTTCTGTGCAAGCACACTATATTTACCGCTAAATCTACTCGACTGTAAATGGCAAGAAACATCAAATCAGCTTGTGTACATCATTTCCGGTGTGTATGTCAGTATGTTGCCTTGAAATTGACGATGAACTTCGTCGAAGAGATCCGTCCACATTCGATCAATAAGGTGTCGTACATTATGTCCCCCTACACATGATGATAATGCTCCACATTGGAGGGCCTATAAAATCACATTTTTGTGAACGGGGGGAGGGGGGAGATACTGTACCTTTTCCGCCACGACAACGTTGATGTAAGCGTACTGCCATGGGTTCATCACTGCTCTGGCGCGTTTCTCTCGAAGTCTTTCGACCACGCCCTAAACTTTGCTTTTCTTTTTGCTAGATCGTGCCAGCACCGTGTCAGGGCTGTGCCAGCCACGCATACCGGTCGGACCACGGGAGCCATGTAGGCGAGCCCGTGCTAATTAATAGACGTGCCGGCACGGCGCTGGCACGACAGCGCCGACAGCAGCAAGTATGAATGCAGCTGTGAAATTGTCGCGTAGAAAGCTTTCTACCTTGATGTTGACAGTGTTATTCTGATAAAGTTGCCTCAGCGCCACATCGAGCGCAATGAAAACTCCAGTACGACCCAATCCTGCATGGCAGTGAACCAGAAGAGGTGACGCGGACGATGTGAGCTCCTGAAATCCTGAGGGAATCACAGGCCTCCCAACGGGAGAGCTTTCCCTTACAAACTTACCCTTTCGACTATATCAATAATCCTCATTGCTGTAGTGGCATATGAAGCTGTAGTCAATGGCCATGGTATCGGAAGGCATCCGTCGGGCCATCTGAATGTACCCGGAGGTCGATTACGGTAGGGTGAACTTGATCCGGCAAACCTGTAGTAGCACATATGGACTATTTCTCTGTCGGGTTCGGGATCTCCGATAGGATTCGAGTACGAAATTCTCAACTGCGTAACTCGATAAACCATGTCATTGGGAGCGACAGCTCGTAACCCTGGCGCTATCTGTAAATAACACTGCAGTTAACCGAAAAAAGTGCCCTACCCGGATGGGTTCACAATAGGTGGGGTAGTAGTTAGAACTATGGCACGGTAATCCAGCGCCGCTCTAGCGTCGCTCGAAGTCGATCAGCGACGCAGGCGCTCCATGTGGGTGCCGGCACGGCGCTGGAACGGCGCTGACACAGAGTCGATACAAAACCTTGACGCTGCTTGACGGCTCGATGCATCAACTACTTTGAGCCTTCTTGGCAACAGAAGGTTCATAGAACGTGATCCCGATTGCCAAACAAAGCGAGGTCCCGAGATTAGACCTACAGTATGACTACCGTAGTATGACTACCACGTCTTTAACCCCCCCCCCTACCCCTACTTACCATCATCCTTGTATCCACACACGTGATCTTGAAGGGCATATACGCGACAGTTTTGCCAATCTCAAGCGGCCAGTATTGTATAGTCTCCTTGCTTGGATCATAAATCGCAGGATAGAGGCTTTCTTCATGTGGGAAGTTGAGAGATAGAATTCTCTCTACGTTTTCCTAAAAATTGGATGCCTCTTTTTTGTAGTAAAGTGAAAACAAGCTTACCTGCCAGACCATACACCAAAAATCGAACACACTGCTCATCGTCGGCCCTTCACTGGCAAGATATTCTGTTTGAAATAGTGGACCGATACGTTGTGCATTGATCTGAAGTTCAGTCAGTTTGAAGACATCAAAAGGGCAGACTATACTTCGCCCGCTTGGTTTTTACCCGCACTGACTACGGACAGCTGCATCAATCAATACAGATTTGCGCGTACACTCTGCCCCAATCCTAACTAGGCCAAAATCGGCATGGCGGAAATCCGCGCCGCGAGGGTTTCGCGCCACATCTGCGGCTAGTTAGTCTGCGCTCTCCTCGATCTCTTCACTCTCTGCGACAGCGCGCGTATGCAGCGCAATCCCCTAGCGCTGCGAGCGCGCAAATTCAGCTGACGGTTCGGCCTGATCCCGATTGGGGCAGACTGTATAAACGTGTTCCACCCAATTGTGGGAACGGCGAAATGCTGCCGCGCGAGGTCGCAAGCGAAGTTTTTGCCCGCGCGTGAGGGGAAGGTCTGCATTTTTTATCGCGCATGGGGCAGAATCGGTTGTAACTTTCTTCACTTAGTTCTTGTCCTCACTTTCAACTGCCTGTTAGTGTTTCCTCCCAATGGCGTAGCAATGAACGGATTTCCTTTGCCGGTCTGAGTTTCCCATGCGCTTGGACCACCATCCAACGAGAAGAACTCTTCACAAAGTCCACCGTAAGCATTTTCTATGGAGAACCGCGTTAGAAACCATCGATCCACCTGAAACAATTATTTCTTGATATGTACGGATACATAAGGCTGCGTCCAGACGCGTGCCAGCGACAGCGCCGCATTAGCGCCGCAACTTCAATCGATCAATGGCGCTTGGGCGCTATTGGCATGGCGCCGACACGGCGTCGGAAATTTTTTGGCACGCAGCCGGCACGCAGGCAACTTTGGACGTTGCCAAAGAGGTTGACTGTTTCACCTTCATGTCCTGTGATGGCGTTTTGCCACCGACATCGTTGACGACATGTTTGGTGCGAATCTCTTTCTCGCGTTCTCGAACACACCGAATCAGCCTGTTCTCATGAAATCCCCCCATTCTGGAAATGGTAGAGCATCGTTGGCTTGGATACAGAAGACTTCTTGTCCAACAGCACCGTTGATTCTTTCTGAACACGTCGGTCATGTAGCAGACTTCGCTTGATATGAATGATCCAGCTAGTCGCTAGCTCATAAATACGCGTACTAAAATGAGACTAACCTACTCGTTGAGTTGTATATATAGTGTGAGAGCACGATATCTAGTCGTAGATAATGCTTATCGTAAGCATTTCTTGCATTCTGCCAAACATCTCGGCCGTTCTCATGCCATTTATACAATCTGTTCTCCAGCTAAAGTAAAAAAAAATCAACATCTCAGACACTGGAAGCGGGCGAGCCGCGGCCTTAAAAGGCCTTTTCGGCCCGCCCGCGGCCTTATTTTGGGGGCGTGGCCAGATCGCGGCTGACCCGCGGCCCTAATTTGAAGGTGTGGTCTGAGTACGGCCGACCCGCGGCCCTTGTTCATTGCAGCGGCCGACCCGCGGTTCTTGCTTTGCTTACCTGACCAGCTATATGCAAATTAACAACTTAGTCATGATCTCGTAATGGTCATTGACGAAGGTAGTTTCCATTCAATAAGAGCGTTGGTGCTCTTCGGTTCTTTCGCTTAGACAATCTTCATCGATTCTAATGCGCTTCCCGCAGCGCCGGGATATATTAATGGTGAGTCCATGAATACTATGCAATGTAGCCAGGAGCTCGGCTTATAGAATTCTGCACACATGATACTATTACTATCTCCATGTGGTAGAAGTGAAGAGGATCAGTCTTTTGGTTCTACTATATGGAGATACTAGGTTATATATATAACCAAATATTGAATATAACATATATAATATGTAATATAATATCTATTATATATATAATATAATATACTCTGTAATGTGAATCACACACTTTTCGTATTTTTATTATATGTGGTCCATCCAGGTCAGCAGGGCGCAGGGCGTGCACGACGACAGCGATTCGTGCCGTATGTTGCGGATGATCGATACCGTAGTCTAAACAGGACAGGCCCGAGGGCATACGGATGTATGTAATTCTCATTTTGTCTGTTGGCAATTGATCAGCAAAGGGCAAATATTCTTATTTGCCTGTTGTTAATAGTCAACTCTTTTAGTAACAATAGAAAGGCGGTTGAGAAGATCGCGCAGATTGATTGAAGAGACCGGGCAGAGAACTCAAGACAGGCACATAAATCAAGAATCTGCGATGGAATTCGAATCAGATATCTTCCAAATGCAAGTCATACCTTTCCTGAAACCAGGCAGCGTTCACGTAAGCTGACAATATCGTGTCTGTTCGAACTACCTTACTGCATCAATTTCAACTTAAATTGCCCGCATCCTTTAATATTCTGCATATATTCTACATTTTGGTCTCTCCGAAGTGCAAGTCAGTTATCTGGAGGAGCTTATGAAAGTCCTTTATCAACATGAGTCACCAGTCTCGTTGAAAATATTTTGCTACTTTTGTTTTTCCATAAGCAAAATAGCGTTCCTTGAAGCATCGTGAAATCGAAAGTTTCTTCAAAAACATTTTGAAAAGCTATAACATCAGAATATGTTATTTCTGTTCCTCTTGTACCGACCTCATGGAAGCGACACAAAATTATTGTCAAAATGCAATGTGCAGCATTTACAGGTGTTCTCACTTCACAAGTTCCAAATTCTCCATAATATTGAATCGGCTTTTGCAGACAAAATTTCAAGAATGCAAAGAGAATGCAGCGAACTGAAGTACACCTAATAGATATAAAACCTCAACTAGAAGATATTCTAGAAAAATATATAAATGAAATTATAAGTTTCCATAGTAATTAGATTCTTAGTTTTTTAGTTTAGTTTTTTAGTTTTTTTAGTTTTTTCCATAGTTTCCATCATAGCCACGGTCTCGAAGAAGTGGCAGCCACTCAAAAATCTCACAACTTTCCAGCGTCTTATGTACATGTACCGCCTCATTCTGACGCAGGTGTACAATGATAGCAGACTGAAATTGTTAGAGTAAGTATCGTTTCAGATCACGGATCCTCCAAACAAAATTCAAGAATATGCGATTCGTGATAATGCTGGTGGCAGGGTCGAAAAGTTGAAAGATCTTCCTCCAGAGATAGAAGATATACTTATAGGTAACCATGAGATTAATCTCCAGTGTTTCTCATTCAGTTTTCAATCGTTTTATTCCAGACTTTGCGCAGGACGCTTTAGATTACGAACACGAGGAGTTGGTGCCGGGTTTTGAAGGTGATTTGAAAGCGTCTAAGTGCTTGCAAATTTTACAAAAGTTAAGAGAGATTTAGTGTACTGTTTTCTAATTTAGCTTGTACGAAAGCTTGGGAAACAATAAACAGGAAAGAAGGAAAGAGCTTTCGCAGATGAGACAAGAGTGAGCTCAATGGCGGCTACACCTTTATCAGGCCTTACAGAAAGCTCTGTACGTGGTGAAACGAAGTTATTTTGATTATCAGTAACTTTGACTTCCAGAAGGGATGTCCGAGCATCGAAATATTAGGGTGAACGGTAAAAAATGGGACACCTTGAGAATAATTGCAGATTTCTCAAGGAATAAAAGTGACTGAACTTTCCAATTTTGATGGGTATTAGAATAAATTATTCTCTTTCAGATAGCACCTATATAAGGTCATTTAAATAATTGATAATTTTTATAATTGCTAAAATGCAAAGTTAGTTACTTCGAGAAATTATGAAGTTTGAGCAGTATCGGCGCAGTGAAACATGTGAGACCACCCAAAGTACCACTGCTGGAGTGAGTGTTGGGACAGTCACCAAACCCACGACGGCTTGGTGGCTTTAACTCTCAATGTCAGGAGATATGCCCATTAACAGCTTCGAGAACAAAGATACGCGTTATTCAATTCTTTGCAGGTAAACGCATGATTTCCAGGTATCATCTGATAGAACTTTTTACGCTCTATCCACCCATATGCAGTTTACTTCAGATTTTATCTATCTTCGGAAAATATAGGGCAAAACATGATTTTTTGGTCTTTTGTTGCGCCAAAAATAGCTATTTTTCAGGTTTTTTCGATTTTTTTTCTGAAATTGAAAGGAAATCTCATGCATTTAACGCATCATTCGAAAGAGCACGATGAGCTCTTTCGAATGGTATGTCATTTGCTTTACGACTTTACGGTATAACAGCGCAAGATTGAGGATTGTCCAAAAAACCCTGTTCGAGTTCTTCACGGCGCCACGTGTAGGGTAGTGGAAGAGGAGCCTTAAACGCGTTGTCAGAATAATAAGCGAAGGTCGCCCATGTGAGCGACGTTTGAGTTGCTGCTTACTTGCTGTTGCCAGAAACAAAAAATTGTAAAATGTAATGAAAATCAAGCTGTCCCATTTTTTACCGTTCACCCTAATACAAGGAGAATGACAATACGTGGAGCCCGAGTAATGTGAGTTGATACATAAACTTGGCTACTTCAGCGATCCAAATGTTCCAGAAACAGAAAAGGAAGACTGTGGCTGTGCCCGAGGAGGACATCAAAAAAACAAGTAATGTGAGTTCGTACATATTATATTGGCTACTTCAGCGTTATCCAAATGTTTTGGAGGCAGAAAAGAAAAGCTTTGGTCGAGGCTGCCGAAGACAACATCGAGATGATAGATGACGAAACATATTTGCGCCTTTGAGAACAATGAGAGTAGAACAGCGCATCAACATCTGAAGAATCTTTCGCCAGTTCTCATCAAGACTTTGGCAAGGCTCTTCACGCGGTACCTGACGAAAGGCAAGGTTCCAAGGCAATGGAAGACCAGCAAAACCGTGTTGCTGTACAAGAAGGGAGATCCCTGCGACATCGGCAATTATCCCCCTATCTGCTTGTTGTCTGTAGTCTACAAACTCTTTACGCGAGTCATTCTCAACAGGATCGGAAGAGAGTTGGACGGAGGACAACCATGCGAGCAAGCTGGGTTTCGAAGAGGATTCAGCACGATCGACCACATACACACGGTGTCAAGGCTCATTGAAGTGTCACGAGAGTATAAGATGCCGCTCTGTCTCACCTTCATCGACTTGAAGAAGGCCTTTGACTCGGTTGAGACTGAAGCCGTCATCGATGCCTTGAGCAATCAAGGTATTCCGACTCATTACATCAAGATAATTCGTGAGCTGTATAACGACTTCACAACCACCATAACACCATTCTACAAGGACATCATCATTGACGTGAAGAGAGGCGTGCGACAAGGCGATACTATATCGCCGAAACTATTTAGTGCCGCTCTGGAGAACGTCATGCGTAAGTTGGAATGGGACAACATGGGAGTGAAAGTCGACGGCCGACAGCTACACCACCTTCGCTTTGCTGATGACATCGTATTGATAACACCAAGCATCACGCAGGCGGAACAAACGCTGGCCCAGTTTGACGAAGTGTGTGGAAAGATCGGTCTACGGCTGAAACTAACGAAGACGATGTTCATGAGGAACGGAAGAGTGCCTGATGCTCCTTTCATGCTCAACGGGACGAACATCACCGAATGCTCAAGCCACACCTACCTAGGTCGTGAACTCAATATGATGAACGATCTAGCTCCGGAACTGAGCAGGAGGAAACGTGCAGCATGGGGAGCATATAAGGCAATTGAGGACGTAGTGAAGAAGACCAAGAACATCCGGCTCCGCGCCCACCTTTTCAACTCGACGGTTCTTCCTGCTTTGACGTACGCTTCAGAAACATGGACAATGAAAAAGCAGGATGAACACGCGGTTAGCATCATCGAACGAGCTGTTGAGAGAGTGATGCTAGGAGTGAATCGACTCACGCAAGTGAGGCAAGGATTACGAAGTTCTACCCTACGTCAACGATCGAATATCAGGGACGCTGCCGCGTACGCCAAGCAGAACAAGATAAGATGGGCCGGGCACGTAATGCGTTTCGACGACAACCGGTGGACGAGAGCTGTAACAGATTGGATACCACTGGACCGAACGCGAACGAGGAAGACCGCCGACGCGATGGTCAGATATGTTCACGAAGTCCTCTAATGAAGTCCTTCAGAGCGTTCCACGTGTTCCTGGTGCGATACGTAAACATTGGTCAACAATCGCCCGAGACAGGGACGAATGGAGGCATCACCGGTACCCGCTCGTGCAACACGATGATCAACGGGGATACAGGTGATACAGGTGTTTGATTCTCTGTTCATGATTGTGACTATTTTTAATGTATATTCTGGACACAGAAGATAAATGAGTTGTCATGAATATGTGATTGGTCTGTTGTCTTCATGTGCTAAAAGAACCAGCTAAAATTTCCATTTTTGGAAGTGTTAGAACGATTTAAAAAGAGCCAGTACAGCCGAGCCGCGGACCCTTCCCGGCCGAGCCGCGGCCCACTACGGGCGAGCCGCGGCTCATTTACGGCTGAGCCGACTGTCTATTCACGGCCGGCCCGCGGGAGCTGCGATTACCCGGCCGGAACTGGGCCGCGGCTCGCCCGCTCCCAGTGTCTGAGATTGGTCTACTTTACTGTTCACTTCAAACAACTCAGACACTGGGAGCGGGCGAGCCGCGGCCCAGTTCCGGCCGGGCAATCGCAGCTCCCGCGGGCCGGCCGTGAATGACAGTCGGCTCGGCCGTTAATGAGCCGCGGCTCGCCCGTAGTGGGCCGCGACTCGGCCGGGAAAGGGCCGCGGCTCGGCTGTATTGGCTCTTATTAAATCGTTCTAGCACTTCCAAGAAGGAAATTTTAGCTGCTTCTTTTAGCACATGAAGACAACAGAACAATCACATATTATATTATTAGCCACTTCAGATCTTGTGAATTCCTACAAAGATTCATACACTGAGTTGTCACGAAAATAACGGGAAGAAATCAAAGGAACGTGAGGTTTAGAGAAGAGAGAGGCGGATTAGTATGTTGAAGGATCGGAGGTGGCGGGCATTGATAAGCCCTCGGCATTTTTGGTTGAGACCAAAATACCTATGGTATGATGTATGATTTTGTATGACTCAAAGTTCATAATTTACATCATAAGCGCTCTGATTGAAAGTGTGACATTTCTTCTTCCTTAGTACCAATTTGGCGGCATTATCCATGTGAATTGTGCCCCGGCTGATACAGTCGTAAAGGGATGACACTGGCTCCGTTGATAACCTTCTTGGCTGTTCGGGAGAGTGCTAAGTTCTTGCGACTGTTCCTAAAATGTGCTTTAAGTGCTACCCTTGCTCGTACATTCTTCCTACCTGGCCTGACTCTAGCAGGAACGGTGCTGTTGCGAGGACGAAACATGTCCAACGAAAAATGTCCAAGCGAAAGAACCGAAGAGCACCAACGCTCTTGTTGAATGGAAACTACCTTCGTCAATGATCATTACGAGATCATGACTAACTTGTTAATTTGCATATCGCTGGTCAGGTAAGCAAAGCAAGAGCCGCGGGTCGGCCGCTGCAATGAACAAGGGCCGCCGGTCGGCCGTACTCAGACCACGCCTTCAATTTAGGGCCGCGGGTCAGCCGCGATCTGGCCACGCCCCCAAAATAAGGCCGCGGGCGGGCCGAAAAGGCCTTTTAAGGCCGCGGCTCGCCTGCTTCCAGTGTCTGAGAACCGGCGTCATGATACTATCCTTGATGTACGGCATTAGTTACGGTATTGGCTACAATGACCATCAAAATAATTTGTTAGAGTAACTAGACAATTCATAACAGTTATTTGGTTCTTTTCACTACCGTGTACATACCGTAATCAAGACTGTGCAACGTAATGTCAGGTGACTTCTAATATTAGCAAAGTTTAAGACCATAATTTGGGGTCATACTGGAGAGGTGCTAGTAGTTCTGATTAATAGTGGGTGCAATTACACTACATGACTGCGCGGAGAGGACAAATTTTCTTTCTGGATTTGGACACGTCCTCTTCCAAATAAACCAACGCCCGGAAGTTGCGCGGAGAGGACAAATTTGCCCAAAATTTCGCATACATCAGTTTGCCATTGAATAATCAAGAAAGGCGAACAGGGAAGTTTCGCGAGACAGAGCCCGCTGATTTGCCGGAATTCTCCTCAAACTGGCGCGGAACTTTCTGGCCATTGTCTTAGTAAGCAATTCATTTTTTTTTCTTTGGAAGCTAGAAATATTTGAATAATTTTTCTTCTGTAGCATGCACCTTAGCATATAAAAAACAATGCAGTTTGATGGGAAAATCAAAAGAAGAAACATTCACCTCGGAAAAAAATTTCCTTTCTGCTCGCATTCTCTTAATCATTTCTTGATTCTTGCGCTTTTCGAGGTAATAGTCCTTCTGGAGAACGTAGAACCGTACATTAGATAGTGCAATTGAGTGAAGTTCACTTGAGGCGAGAACTGAGCGTTTGGCGTCATTTGATCGAATGGATAGCGTGTTTGTCTAATGTGCGGATGCAGCGTGGTTCGATTCCTCACTGATGCCAGTTTTCGAACCGCACTTGTCGTTACAAGTGGGGTGTCAGACTAGGCAAAGAGAGGAATGTATTTGGCAGAGCGCTGTAATGTTCTTCATTGCTGCGTCTTTATCAATATACGACATCTTTTTAGGAAAGCTGTCCAAGCAGGAAAAAGTCTTCTCTCGGAAAAAGCTCAAAAAAGTTAGAAAAATAGTTTACTAAAAACATTGAATAGTAAATCTAAGGAGATTGAAAAAACTGTCGACATTTTATGCCTTTTTCTGATGACCCAATGTCCCAGTTCTAAGCTCCTCTATTTCTTTGGACAGCTAAATATTAGTACTGGGACTCTGCACTGCGACTGACATGTTTGTTAATGCACTCTAGTTGTTGGCGAGGCAACATCACGAGGCAACACATTCAAGATCCTGCGGAAGTACGGCATAGCAAAGTGCCGCGGAACCGCTGGCATTTTTTAGGAAGTTCCGCGGCGCTTTGTATAAAGCCCTACGGAAGTTCCCGTTTTCATCCAGTCTAACGCGAGAATCCTGCGGAACTTCCCATTTTCAACTTTTCCACTTTGCAATAGTAAACAAAATCCTGCGAAACCGCTGCAAATTTTGGTTCTCTGCGGAAGTTCCGGTGAATTGTCTGAGTAGGAGTTCAAAAAAATCAAGAGTGATGAGACAGCCGCGGCAATCTCTCTTTTTGGGAATCGAAATTTTCTGAGCTTTCAAAAATGATGCCACTTGAGATATGTGGACAATTCCACGACAAACGTAGCTATTTTTTTTTTTGAAAAAACTCAAAGCGCTTGAGGTCCGGCGAACAAAATGAGGATTAAATATTTCTGGTGAAAGTTCTTCATTGAAGCCTTTCAAAATTTAGTAAAAAAGGCTGAAAGAAAGTTCGAACTGCGCAAAAAACGAATTGTAAGATTTGCTTCAATAAAGAAAAACGATGGAGAACAGTCTTTGTAAATATAAGCATTTTGATCATGCATTAATCCTGCATCATTTACATAACTGCGTAAATGCATCATTGATTGACTCGATTTTGGTTTCATATTCTGACGTGTTCTGACTATTCTGACGTGTTCTAACGATAGCAAAGCTATAATGCTTAGCTTATCTATATGGACGTAAGCGCATTATTGGTCTTTTTCAGCAGTTAATAAGTTTACGGAGGTGATCAATGTGGTGATTGTTAAATTTTTTCTACTTCCCGTTGTGGCAAGCCAAAATCTGGATTGAAATCTGTATTAACCACGTGCTCCTTTTTCCGCACCGTATGGACATTGCACAGTGATCTCCGATCGATGCGGCAAATTTGAACGCTTGCGCGGTGCGCCCGCGAACGCGGCACTGGGCATTGAAAGGAGCACATCGTTGATACAGACTGTATAGGTTGCTTAGCGCTATAACAGCCCGTTCTAGCAGCCATTGACTCTTTTATAATACAAATTCTAGGACTTTTTGTATTTTTTCTGGAATATCTGAACAATAATGTAAGGTAGAATAATGGACATATTACTCGACTCAAAAAATAGTACTGTGCTTTTATCAGTCGATCTGATTTCTTGCACTATGCTCTCTGAGCTATCCCTAAAATCACAATTACGCGCGCGTCCAAGTAAGGGCACAGGTTCGCCAAGTTGTGAGTAATTGGGTGACGCGCCATATGTGACGCGTAATAGTGAGTGACGTTCCTTTTCCCAAAACTCAAAACTTAAAATAATTTACGTCGGTAAAACAGACCGAGTTGATAATTCGATTCGCTTTAGCGACACTTGGTAGTTTTCGATTCAGATTTTCTGAATATTCTAAGCTGAGCTGAAGTGCTTCGAAAGTGTCAAGTAATTTTACTGTCCAATGGCTTCGACTTTGAAGGCTGAATGGGTGTGGTTGGAGCAACTTGACAGTTAAAACGCGCGAGTCGCGTTCACGCCCGCTCAACTAATATCGCCATTGCGCCGTCATGCAGCAGCCTTCACAAGTCGTGCTCTCGCGACCATTCAGCCGCGCCGCGCGTTGTCCGCAGCTTTTAAGCAGTCCGTGCGGTCAACTAATTTATGGTACCGGCAGGCTGGATGGGCGTGTAGGGAGTAAACTGGCTGATAAATCAATCAGTTAATTACCGCTGAGATGAATAGAATGTCTCCTACCATCCATCCCACTCTCACCATCTGATTGTTCTTCTTAACATTAACATTAACATTTATTGCATAGGGTTCCTATGCATCAACACAACATAAACAATAACGAACGAACAAGAGATTGAAACAACAAAAAGAATGAGGTAGATGAACATAAAAGTCAGGTCTGTAAAGGAGAAGATAGATAGTTTTTGAGAATGGTTTTAAATTGTGCCAATTTAACAGGAAATCTATTCTTCCTAACAAACTTATCAATATCATGAGTAACTCGGTTTACAAAGAAAAACCGCCTCACATTTTTCCTAGGCCGCGATAGTACTATCTTGTCTGAGCCTCCTCTAGTTATGGAACTTCTTCTCTGGAAAAACTCTGAAGCATTGAGATTGCAACTTCCGAAAAGAATCTTATGAGCCATTATCAGATCAAAAGCGCGTCTTCTAGTAGCAAGAGGCTCAAGACCCAAATTGTTATTTCGAAGGGTGTAGTTAGGGATACGATCGTATACAAATCCATTGCTCCTTATCAGCAGTTTCCTAGTGAAACTGTTTTGTACTTTTTCAATTGCATATATACTCGTCTTCTTGTAAGGATTGAACACAACAGTTCCGTATTCAACTAAAGGTCTGACATAAACTTTATAAGCTCTTACGAGAAGATCGATATCATTCGTTGAGAGGGCTCTATACAAATTATAAACTGCATGCATTCCTCTCGCAGCAATAGATTGACAATGTTTATCAAAACTTAGTCGATTATCCACCAGAAATCCAAGATCCGTCACCTCAGTTACATAATCTAGGATGTCCTGTCCTATAGTGTAGGAATATTCCACAGATTTTGGCCCTAGAGACAATACCTTTGTTTTCTCACGCGAAATAGGCAATAGCCAGTCTTCCGACCATCTAACAACGAGATCTAAAGCCATCTGTACCTTTTCTTTATCTGCGCGCTCAATGACTGCACTGTAGATTTTGAAGTCATCAGCGAAAGCACAGCATCCAACACCAGCTCCCAGCACAAGGTCAGGAAGGTCATAAGTATAAATATTGAACAAGATTGGGGATAGAACCCCACCTTGAGGCACTCCACTCAGCATAGGTCGTAGACTAGAAAAGCTTTCATTAACTCGGACTGTAAATGAACGTTCATGTAAAAAGGCCTCAATCCAAGCTATAACCTGGGGATGGATGCCAATCATTTTTAGTTTGACTATAAGTTTGGTATGAGAGACCTTGTCAAATGCTTTAGTAAAATCTAGGTAAATGACATCAACCCCTTTGCCTGCGTCTAATGCCCGAGTCCAGTCATTCAGCGAATGCAACATCGCCGTAACCGTTGATTTGCCTGCTTGAAACCCATGCTGAGCGTTAGAAATGATACCAAGACTGGTTAGATGATTAACTATTCTTTTCTTTAACACTTTCTCAAACAATCTAGCAAAAACGGAGGTAATACTTATAGGCCGGTAGTTTTTAGGGGAGGTGTGAGGCTTCTTTTTAGGTATGGGAGTTACATACGATATTTTCCATCTGTATGGAACTTCTGCACTAATCAAGCTCAAGTTAAATATGAATTGCAGGGGTTTCGCAATGATATGGGCAACCTCTTTGATGAATCGATGAGGTATATGATCAGGGGTCAGAGATTTTGATTTTGGCCATCTACGAAGAAGTTCAAAAATCTCACTTTCATCAAAATATACAGAGTCCATAGCTTCAAATCGCGGTGTAACATTTTCGGAAACACTTGATTCATCTCTCTGAAAAACCTTTTCGAAAACATCTGCAAAACACTCTGATTTTTCAGCATCAGTATTTATGGCTGCACCATCATCAGCCAAAAGAACTCCCAACTTCATCCTCTCTTTAAGCCTTGAATTAAGGAGCTGGTAGAACGCTGATCTGTTTCCACTGTTTATGGTTTTCTTTTCCAAGTAAGCCTGATATTTTTTTAATCGCTTCAAGTATCTATGATTTATCCTTTTGTATAATGTAGAAGCAATTCCTCTTCCATTAGCTCTCGCTTTATACCAAGCTTTTGCTCTAATACGCGAAAGCGTCACAAGATGTTTCGGAATGCTCGGCGTATTTCGCGGTACAGATATGAGCGGCACGTAAAGTTCAATTGTATGCTGAAGGATAAAAATCATCATCTCATACATATCATTGAGTGAGCCTGCTGCATGAAAGGAGCCTAGCCAGTCAATTGTTTCCAGATAGCTGATAGCTCCTGCCATGTTGGCATTTTTAAAGTCCCTTCTCAAAACGCATTTGACTTTAGTTCTACATAGGTCCTCCAAACGAAAACTTATCAAGGCATGGTCACTAGAGCCCAAAAAATTTTGGAACGCTTCACGAATTTGCGTGTCATCCTTGCGCAGGGACCATAAGCTTCTCGACGGCCATTTAGCATGCCAAAACAAAAACTTTGGAGCTATTTTTGATGTTTGGAGTGCAGCTTAGGCTTATCGCACTCATCCCCACGACGCACAAACCAGCAGGAAATTCAATTAAATAACTCTTCAAAAATATCCCACCTTACCTACCATAAACCCAAAGAAAAAGCATCAGTACGCCAAATATCCACGGCTACTCGCGCACCGTGTGAAAGCTGAGATTAGACGTATTATCCTCGTCGTATCTAGGTGGACGCATTCAGTCATACGTATGAAAATGCACAAGCTCTAAGAGCACTTTACGCTTCCAAGTGTTAGACAAGTAAAAAGCGAATGGTGCAACTGCACTAAGTCGCGATTTTGGACGTCTACGAACCCTGTTCACGGGAAAAGCTTTGCATATAGATACATCTGCTTCTTTCCAGTAACCAAGCAGTTTTGAAAATTGTTGTGCTATGCAGAGCCTAAGCCATTTCTTTCGCCGACTACATCTCTCATGCAAAATATCCCGGAAATGCAAACGTTTAAAGGACCGAAGCGTTGCCGCGCTCTACGGCCAAGTGACTACGGTAGAGATACACGTAAACGCTCCCAGATCAATTGCTTCCACAGTTTCTGGCTGTTTTTGGTTCTTTTACTGAGCTTCCTGGTGCAACATAGCATTATATAGTTTAAGAATGTATTGGTGTGATCTGTTTGGATAACTTTCAATCTTTCATTTTGAGTTGAAATCGCATAGAGGATGATTACTTGTTCTCTCCGGATTTTAATCCTTATGAATTGTCATACTTGCATCTGTCATCATCTATTATATTTCTTTATTGCAGGGTACAAAATGCTTATTTATGGGCTGTTGTTGACGTTGCTGGCCTCCACAGCATCCGGTTACTATATTAACATCGATGCAAATGAGGAGCAATGTTTTTTTGATCGAGTCATCTCAGCCACAAAAATTGGTTTGATGTTTGAAGTGGCAGAAGGAGGATTTCTCGACATCGATGTGAAGGTGATTTCTTTCCTCTCAATTTTAGATCGTTGTCTGTGTTTTTTTCTCTTCCTTTTCTGATTTGCGTCCCACTTATCCATATTGTTTTCGTTGCAATGATGCAGTCGTTTGTATGTTTTCAGATAACCGGCCCAGACAACAAAATAATCTACAAAGGAGAACGAGAATCCTCTGGCAAATATACATTTGCGGCACACATGGATGGCGTGTATACTTATTGTTTTGGAAACAAAATGAGTACGATGACGCCCAAGGTACCGTTACATGCTTCGAAATTCTGAGAATGAGTCCCAAAGTATTGCTTTGAACATGCATTATTCATTGCTGACTTTTTTTTTATTATTTTATATGATTTGAGAAAAGCGCCAATTAGCGAAAATGCTGGCTTAAACTTTACTTTTTATCATTTGCAAATGGGACACATACTCTTTTGTCAATTTTTTGGAAGCAGGTCGACATTTGTGCCTTGATTTTTTCTTAACCATAGGCTGTAATGTTCACCATCGAGATCGTCGAACCGCAACAACAACAGCAACAAGGCGCTGCTCAGAATCAGGACGCAGGTAAGATATTGTGAGAAGTGTTTAAGGCATGTAGTATTGTTTTCTTCTACATAATATACATGGAAATAATTAACTTTGCAACAATTCACCGAAAATCCTTTCGTGTATGTTCTCTAAAGTATTTTCCAGTGTTTTATACAGACATACAAGGCTTGTCAATCGTTATTTTTAGCCGACAATCAGAAACTCGAAGAAATGGTCCGTGAACTCTCCACTGCACTTATGTCAGTCAAACACGAGCAAGAGTACATGGAAGTCCGAGAACGGGTTCATCGATCGAGTAAGTTTATTTATTGATTTGTTTTAGAATGCATCGTAATTGAATCCTTTGCTTTTCGTTTCTCACCAAACAATTTTGCCGTCTCACAGTAGACCTCATAGGTTTCATGCGCACCCCTTAGCTTTTGATGTTCAATTTCTGAAGCACAGACTAAGATTGCACATGTGCGCAAATTCTCCGTCTATGTCAATGATTTTTGCGCTGGACCGGATGCCGCCAACTGTTTTTTGCGTCGCATAAGGTCGTGTTCTGATACCACCATTTTCCTAGGAGAAATTGCAATAAATGCACTCAAGAAGAAAAGAAAACAGAAAAAGACAAGAACAGTTCGCGTCCGCGCACAATGCGTATTTAGTTCTGCAGCTTGATTTTCTGTGCCAGAAATGTATCACTTGGATAACAACGGCCTCTTCTTTGATTATCTTGCCATTCCAAAACAGTGGGTGAGATTCACGCTCTTCTATCCTATTATTTCTACTTTTGAGTTTTGAATTCTGATTTTAAGTAATGTATTTGCATCATACCCGTGGTGACTAGAGACTCTAAACATCAACAGTCTCTCTCCGCATCTACCTTATCGAATCTAATATTAAAGAATCGTAAGCGCACGTTAAAAATGTGCACATAGCGAGAAACCACGTGGCGATCCCGTAGCGCGCGCATGCTACTAGCACCTTCAATTGTTGGTACACTAGTTCTTCATAATTTTGAGTATAGACTGGAAACCGGCGCGATTTTTTGCTGCAAGAAAAAAATGGGGATACTACTGCATTATGCATCTTTCTGCCAAAAAGCAGTAAATGAATAAAACAAAAACGCACCGCAAGTACACTGTGAGATCTGTCTTTGCTTTTGAATTGTGGCACATTGCAATTTAACATCATGCATTTTGATTCTCTCTTTGATTTGTCAGACTACAAAATATTCGATTTTTTACAGTTAACGAGAATACGAACAGCCGTGTTGTGCTGTGGGCTGTGTTTGAAGCACTTGTTCTCGTCTCTATGACAGTTGGACAAATATGGTATTTGAAACGATTCTTCGAAGTGCGTACTGTTGTCTAAATGAACAAATGCAAGTGTTAGACAAGCGCAAGGTAGGCTCCATAGTAGTCAATTTGACAAATTCACCTCAGCGATTATTGGAACCTGCACGTGCCAATCATTTCTCCGAGTTTCTTCAGCTTTTGTCCACTTCTCGTCTTCCTTCGAGTATTTATTTTTTCGGTTTACCGAAACCGTTGCCTTATTTGATGTAATAGTGTGTTTATGTACTCATGTGTAGAGATATATTGGCTCTCGCAATTTTTTTCTCATGGTTGCCGTCTCTTAAAATCACTAAATTACATTTTTGCTTCTTGGGTTCTTTTCGGTATGTATCAGAATGTCTAATTAAGATATGATTTTTGTTTGAAGTACGAGTTCTGTATATTTAACGTTACTGTGATGTTACAGTGTAATATTGTTTCTGTTGAAGTAAATTTTATCTCGGTATTGGGTCGATAATGTTCAGGCGATTAGTCCTACGCGGAGATGGGACGCACTTGCGAAGCTGTCGACGTCTCTAATTATGCGCGCTCTCATTCCTCTGCAAGTCTGCTGTCTCTTCTAAGTCTGAACTGCCTTGATCTGGCGCAAGAGCTTCCAATCTCTGCCTGCGACGACTTGCCTAAAAAATTTATCACTCCAGTGGGCATGTACATGCTGTACCAAAATTATCAGGGTTAGCGTTCGGGTAGGAATGAAATTTTGATCGTTCTGGTCTAGTGGTGAAATAGCAGGTAAAAGCAGTGTTTTGAACATGGAACCAAAGAAAAGAAGATGATATTGGAAAATAGCTGCGAAAGGAATAGCGAGTTTCGTTTCCCCTTCTGGTCATCGTTTTTGGTCGTGCTCAATCCAGACTATAAGCTCTGAAATCTGGAGAATGATGTTTAACTCTTCATCAATTGAAGGACTCAACTGGATTTTGAAAGACGCGTAAATTGCATCCCAACGATTTTCTTATAAGTAGGCATTTCTCATAAAAGGAAAGAATTGCATGAGATCGTCACACGTCTATTCATGCGTGTTTGAGAAATGCCTACTTATTCGAAGATCGCTAGTCCTCTCGCCAATCGATGATTCAACGAGTACGGGACCTGTGCTGCAGTATGTACCTTTCTTTCTATCGGAATAGTGCACTGAGTAGAATAACATACCGCAATTGCAAACCCTAGCTTAGTTTCCTTTGAGAGTTGTATTTTCCGGGGTCGAAAAGCCCCAGGAAAGGGAAAAGACGACTTGGGAAATTTACTAGACAGAGCTCTTAAAGAGAACAATCAACATTGTTTGAGAAGGATCAAAGGGTTGGGGATGATATGATTAAGAATTCCGATGCTGCTTCGTCATTGTTTACACATTAGGCAATGCCCAAGCCGCGCTGCGAAATTAGCTTCCAAAACGAAAAAATCGCTCTGGAAGGGGGTGGCCCCGCCCATGAGGAGGCGCCATGTCTGCTCCGTCCACGCAAGGATTGCGTGCTGTCTGCCCCGCCCACGCAACTATTAAAGGCCCCGTCCACCCAAAACTTCGACATCCATGTTTTTGCCGTTCCAGGCCTTCTAATACCCCTGATTCCGAATATCAAGTCGAAAATTCGCGAAAACCACAAAACCCCCGTTTTCAGAAACTGCAGAACGATTTCTTCTATACGGTGATTGGTTGGGCGCGCACGAATGGGCGGAACAAACGTCACGCCCACCCAAAAGGGAGGACCAAACATCGCGAACCAACAACACCTGAAGCGATTTCCGAAGCGATTTTCTCACTTCGGAAGCAACTTACAATTAGGCAGCGCGAGTTGGTCAATCATACAGTTGGGGGCTCCGCAGCTGCTAGGTATCAAAATCTCACCAACCCCAGTTTGGGTGGACGGCGCCTTTAACCGTTGACGCATCCGCCCATGGCAAGCACAGTCACGATGCTGTAACCGTGTTCCTGTTGTGTACGACCGGAAAATCTGTTGCATGTGACCAGATTAGCGCTGGAGGGAGCTCTAGTCAAGGCTTGGCAAAAATGAATCCAGAAACTTTTTTGCGGTTTTTTTTTGTACCTCATACCCGAGATGAGGTCATGGGAAGGCCCAAGAATGGTAAAAACATGAGGGTCGAATATTTGCGTGAACGACGCTTTCAAGCTTTTACTTTAGCAACTGATGATTTTTGTATCTATTCGTTTCGATGTGCGATCCACATAGATATTATCAGCAAGAAAATCAGAATTTGAACTCTTCCATGTTTTTCTTGCTAAATATAATAACATAAGAGAATTACATGAAAAGCGGATAAAAGTTTACATTCTCGGCGAACATCACACGAAGTAATACTCGATTCAAAATCCTGGTCCCGTGGACTTTTCGTTTTTTGTTTTAAAAAACTTCAAATAGCTCCACAGCGTTGCCGTCCCGATATTGCATTTCAAATATAATCCATCGGCTCTCATTACCTCTTTTCTGCAATATAAATTCAACGTTTGTTGGTCGTTGAGAAATCTTGCTCTAAAAAAATTGTATACACATGCTTGAAAAAAATTCTTTCATCTTTGACGATCAATAAAAAGCCTCCAGATAAATTTCTGTAAGCCTAGTATCTCCAGAAAAATAAAATACAATGCATGATTGGTGATGAAATCCATGAAAACTAGTTACCAATTCGATACGGTCTGATTTGGTATAACAGTATTTTGGAAGGAGATGCTTGCTTTTTTCGAGATCACACTTCTCATTTGATCCGTTTTAAGCAAGCTAGGGATGATTTTTGCAAATTTCTGCACTCTAGAGGAAGTTTTCGATCACACATCACACCTAACGTATGACCTGTCCTCAGGCGGCGGTCATACACATACATCGACCCTAACCACTAAATGTTTATCGTAACTGACACCTCGTCGCCGGTGTAGCTTTCCCCCGTGTCGCAGACAATGACCGATCGTCGATTACAGTTGGTTGTGCTAGCATTTTTCATCTTTGCTATTTCTTGCGAAGCTGTTTCAAATCTTAAAACTCGTCTTAATCGTCCAGCTTTCGAATTTTTCTCAAAAACTGCACACCATGTGGTGGGTTATTTGTTAATTTTGAAATTTCTTTGCAAGTTAGCGGTATCGAATGATTTTCAGATTGACGTTGAAGTGCCGAAGATCTCATTGCCAGATATCACGCTCGATATTCATGCCGGACCGGGAAAAGGCACAGTGTCGGCTTATGACTTGAAAATTAACAAATTTCAGTCTCCATTGTAAGTTGTCTAAATTTTCATGAAAAAAAACATTTTCAAATAAAATTATCAGTTTTGTTTTTGCAAACAAGCAAATTTTTTCCTCTCATTCTTTGGAGCTGCTCCAACTATTGATGAGTTCCTGTTTACATTGTGACTTCTTCATCATCTCCGCAAATAATGCACTTTTTCCTTGTGTATTTCTAACAGTTGACTCTCACAGCCAGACATCTTATTTATGTCCAAAATCTAAAGCTGCGGTGTAAATGTCATGATTTCTATCAAATGTTGCGAATCTAGCTTAAAGCTCATTTTCGTAAAACAGCAGCCGGACATCTTCACGGAAGCCGGTCAAGAAGGCGACTTTTGTGTCTGTTCATAATTCAAAATTCTTTTGAACCCCGTTTCCATGAAAATTCTGTAAACTTCATAATGTCCATTTTGGGCGCGAAAACTGAATTTTTCGCTTTTCGCACTCAAAAGCCTAGACAATTTGAATCATTGCTATTTGGAGATCATTGTGAAATCTACCAAATCAACAAAATTGGGGTTGTAACATTGATGCGAGTTTTCATGAGTGCTTTTTCACAAGAACAGCTCTCCAGTGTCTTTGGTTCTTGTGATTTACTTCGTAAGCTAAGCTCCCATCTTCCTCTCTCAAACAAGTATTTGTCTGTGATTCTAGATCTGTCTGTATAGTTTTTACAGGCTTTTCAACAAAAAGTTTTGAGTTGGGAATTTTTTTATTGCACTACTCTGTCCTTAGCTCTCGCCAAAAAAAAGCATTTAGAACTTTTAGTAAAGGATAATGTCCAAAGGCTATATAAATGCTCAGTTCAGCTTCCGTCTAGTAATACTGGGGCAGAATATTGTGGTTCATAGAAGTAATCGGGGGCATTATGTGGCCGACGAAATTCTTGTAATTTGAGAAATCATGGGTGTCGCTATCGCTATCGTCCCAGACTGTCAGAAACTACTTGCTTGTTAACCACTTAGATTTCACCATAAAGCGATAAAAGTTCTAAAATTATGGGATATTTCACCTCAGCGAAAGGCCAATTTTGAATTTTCCTATTTTGCGAAGGAATCTTGATATCTGTGTATCTATTAGGTTGTTTCAAAAGTAAACTCCTTTCTCAAATAATTGAAGCTGTTTTTATTTCTCAGTAAAATTAGGATATCATTCGATAGAGCAGATCAAGCTCTACAAAATAGATACGAAAGATCCACCTAAGCCGCGGTCCGTGGGAAGTTTGAAGCCAAAATCGGAAAGAATTTTTCGCCTGAAAATTGATTTCTGCGATAAAGAATCCTACAGACCTCCAACTTGGTCATTATATAGTAGGCACATAGCATACTCAAATATGTCTTTACCGAATTTTTTCTAAGCATAGAAAGCGAAAAACAAAAATTATCCAGAAATGGCAAACTCCGCCCCCAGCACCTCCCCATATGTCATTGTATACTACAAGCCTTACTAAGTATAATACTTCAATCAAACCTCTATGTGCGATCTTATAAACGAGAAACACCAAGTTTTACATGAAAATCTCGAAAAAAGCAGCATTTTAGCATTTTTGGACCATCTTTGTTTCTCAATTTTGAGCCCCGGAAAAAATCCTCCAAACACATTTTTGGGTAATAAGATATGTCTACTATATAAAGACCAAGTTGGAAGTCCGTAGGAATTCTCTGGAAGGAGATCTGATTTTCAGAGTAGCTGAAAAATCTTGATTTTTGGCCCCAAGTTTTTTCTGGATTATGACTTAGGTGGTCTTTGGTGGTCTTTTTGTAGAGCTTGCTCCGCTCTATCGAATTGCACCTTAAGTCAGTTAGGATAAGAGAACAGCTCAATTTATCTGAAAATGGAGTTTACTTTCGGGACAACCTAATATAAAGTGCGGTTCATAATTATACGAACACCCAAAATTTTGCAAATTTTTGGACTTTTTGGGAGAAACACATAAAGCCGTCGGTACCACGCGATAGAACACAGCCGAAAACGGTATATGATCCATAAGAATGGAAATCGATATCAACAGTAGGAGTGTTTTTGCGGCTAATACGAATTTTTAGCGGTTCATATTTATACGAACGCCTCAAACAAAGGTCCATTCTCCATTCAAGATTGCAATCATTTGAGTCCAAATTTTTTGTAGAGTTACAGTAACAAAGTCTGACATATCTGCTACACACTGAACCCAGTGGAAGACTCTAAATGCTTTTGGAGTGATTGGGCTCCAGAAACATCCGTTCATCTGTAGTTTACACGCTCTAATTAGCTCCTACCAAAGCTCTGAGATGAAATAAGCTCTTGCGATAGGTATTTTGTTTAACGCTTGGAAAATCTTTGCCTTTTCGTGCCGTTTCTCAACCAAGTTCTAACCTTACCACAGAGTTAGCACGATTTCGAGCCTCAAAACTCAGCTTCTGAAGCCGTACAATGAAGTAAGCATATAGTATGTAGAAGTTTACAAGACTTTATATTTGGCTAGAAAAAATCAGCAGCGTTCAGCGTTTGTTTTGGTCACGCAGACGTTATTTCACCAGAAATACTGTTTTTACTATTGCAATCACACCTTTATTTGGTTTGTAGCTCCACAGCAGCAAGATCAGTTTTAGAAAAAACCCAAAAACTTTGGTACAGAAATATCATCATGCAAACAATGCAGCTGCTTCATATCAAATGTCTACGCAAGAGAGAAGCTGAGTTTTGAGGCTCGAAATCATGCTAACTCTGTGCTAAGGTTGGAACTTGGTTGAAAAACGGCACGAAAACGCAAAGATTTTCTGAGCGTCAAACAAAATACCTATCAAAAAAGCTTACTTTATCTCATAGTTTTGGTAGAAGCTAACTAGAGCGTGTAAACCACAGAAGAACGTACGTTTTTGGAGCGCAATCACTTCAAAAGCATTTAGAGCCATCTGAAAAAAGTAGCGATCCTCCTTTTGAGCTGCACTGGGTTCAGTGTGTAGCAGATATGTCAGACTTTGTTAGTGTAACTCTACAAAAAATTTGTACTCAAATGATTGCAATCTTGAATGAAAATTGGATCTTTGTTTGAGGTGTTCGTATAATTATGAACCGCTAAAAATTCGCCTTAGCCGCAAAAACACTCCTACAATTGACATCGATTCCCATTCTTATGGATCATATATCGTTTTCGGCTGTGTTCTATTGCGTGGTACCAACGGCGTTTTGAGTTTCTTCCAAAAAGTACGAAAACTTACAAAATTTTGGGTGTTCGTATAATTATGAACCGCACTTTATATTAGGTCGTTCCGAAAGTAATGTCGCTTTTTTAAACGAACCCCACGTCTCGTGGAACAAAGATGAGGAAGAGGTTCTGATAGCGTTTGATGCAGCATTTCATTCTCTTTCTAACTAATATATAATCACTGCACAAAATACAATAACCTCTCGAAAAATTATGAAAATCTGTGACCTATGCTTTTTGAGAAGGCCAAGTTTCACAATTTTTCTAAATTTTCATAACAATTCTCTGAAGGAGTCCAAGTAATGGATGGATAAGGCAAAGCCTACAGGAAACAGCACAACTTTTTTCTACTTTCCAGATCTCGTCATAGTTTTTGTATAGATTTTTTGATGGAACCACCGAATTTTGGCAGGCTCGTCTCAGACACAAATGCCTCAAACACCAATAAATCTTTGGAATTTAAATTTATAAAGATGGATTATGGTTTAACACTAATTTTACAAACCAAGTGAGCATTCACCGCTTCAGATTAGCAACTTTCTAAAATTCGGGGTACTGCCTGGGGCGCCTTGGAAAACCTGAATTATGATGTTTTTTCCCGGAAAACTTTTAGAATCGGAAACCAAAAACAGCTGGCAAAAAAGAGGAGAAAAAGCTGCGTCGAATGACATCCGAGTTGCTTGCCGGTTGTTGTTCTGTGAGGTTCGAGTTGACCAAATATGAAATTTGATATCATTGGAAAATTGGTTCCAGAAACTCTAAGAAGCAAGCTAAGCAAAAGAAAATATTACTTTGCGTCCTATAGGGTTTGCTCTATCTAGCAGTTGCTTGAACTTCTTCGGAGAATAGGTACAAAAATTTAGAAAAGTATCCGAACTCGACCATGGCAAAAAGTATGAATCGCAGATTTTGGTAATTTTTCGAGAGCTCATTAGATATTATGCAATATGTTTGTGCTTGGAAAGAGGATAAAATGCTGCATCGAATGCTCCTAAAATCTCTTGAAAATCTTGATTCCATGAAATGTGGTGTTCATTTGAAAAAAGCGACATCACTTTCGGAACGACCTAATATATGCTAACGTTATGAATACACGATGAGAAATTTTTCAGCTACTTACATCTTAAATTGTAGTCCGTCAAAGTAGGCGTTTTGGAAGATATAACCTGCTTGGAAAAGAGTTTTATTGCAGATTTGAGTTCGTCCTGACTGATGAAGGAATAGCATGGACATCACGACAAGGCACAGTCAAACTAAAAGGCAGATGGCAGGCTGAATACACAATTTTGCTTCCGGTTAGCAAAACTTGAATGTTTTTTCACTTCTCTTTTTTCACTCTTATGTCTTACATCAAAACAAGGCATAGTTAGGACTAGCTTTCTAGGCGCAGCATTTTTTTTTTTGAGAATACGGTGCGTCAGCTACGGGAAAAGATTTACTTCTGGTAAAGAAGTATTCAGAGCCAAGTGGCCCATGCAGAAACATATTTGAATAGGGGTGAATTCAATTTTAAAGGGAAGAAACGAACATATCCACCTATTTGAACATAGCCTAGCCTTTTCTAATATCGATGCTTCCTCGGTTATTTGTCGAATTTAACGTCAAATCAGGGCTCGGCACGAGCTGGCACCAGGAAGAATCTCAAACGAAGTCCCCTTTGATTTCGCAAAAGTACTCAGATAATCGCCGGGGGCAGGCGGTCCGCAAACTCGCGCTTTTCTGCAAGCGGTCAGCAGAATTTTGGGGCGTGGCCAAACCTTCAGCGGGCGGCACTTCCTTTACGGTCGCATATTCTGCCAGCGGGCAGCAATACAGCATTTTTTGCAAGCGCTCGGCAATTTCTTTCAGCGAGCGCTGGTCAAACTTTCAGCAAGCGCTCGGACTCTTTTTAGGCATTTTCGGGCGTACGTCGAGCGCAGGTAAGACTCTGTGTGGCAGAGATGTCACCGTCGGTTTAATTACTCAAGTTTGAGGTACTTTCTCTCAGCGGAAAGTACCTGGGGGTTGCGCGGTCCTCCACAAAGGACCGTGCGGCCCTCGAAATTTTTGCATATTCTCGCGGAAAGTCTGCGAGAATACGGCCACTGCGCCGCAGCTAATCCATAAAGAAATCGCGACTGTTCTTCAAGCATTCGTCTTTTATTCCGCCAACATTCTTCCAAATTTCTGCAAGCGGGCCGCAAAAAATCAACAAACTATTTTTCCGGTGCGCGCTTGCTCAAAATTCACATGGCCGCCTGCCCCCGGCGGTTATCTGAGTAGTACGAAGTACCTTTTGACCCTTTTTGCCCCTCTTTTCTGTACACTTGGCTTTTTGTTCCTTCATTCTGGATGGGACTGTGGCCCAACCCGAAATAAAGCGAAAAAGCCGAAAATAAATTGAAAAACCTACGGCTCCCCTCTTTCACCCTCCATTTTCCTACCTCTCCACCTCGCCCTCTCCAACCCTCTCTGCAGGGGGGACAAACAAAAAATAAAAAATAACAAAAAAGACAGAAAAAAGGATAATAAAGGAAAAGGACAGAGAGCGCACAGCGAAAATGAAGGATTCGCGCGTCAGTTCACAAGGGCGCGCTTTGCGATTGGAGCAGAGCTTCGATAAAGATTTTTTGAGGACTGTAAAAAAGCCTGGAGGAATATTATGAAACCGTTTTTTCTCTGTATGACAACATCTACAATGAAGATCCTATTTATGTAAAAAAGTATGAAAACTTATGTGATCAAAGGGTCGGTGCCAGCTCAGCTGGCACCCAGCTGGCACGGTGCCAGCTAATTCGGAAAAAAGTTCAGCACAGCTCTCATTCACATAAGTTTTCATAGATTTTGGGGTCATAGTTCGGGTCCCCCAACGCGCATACACGCACCAAATTTGGTGTCATATGATTGCCTTTTGTTTGTAAACAAGGCTTTTCTTTGTCCTGGGCAGGATTCGAATTTCAGCGCTGTGTTAGAACCGGCATGTCGGCGGAATACCGATGGCATGCCGTTGACATGCGGGTAGCATACTGCCTGCATGCTAACAAACAGCGGTATAAACACCAAACATGCCGCTGGCATGCCGGCGGCTTTCAGGCAGCGTGTCGGCGGCGTGTCCCTGGCATTCTAGCAAACGGCAGCATGCTAACCCGCAAAAACGATATCTTTTCTGCTTTCAGCCCAAAAACGATATCGAGCTTGACCCGGTGCCAGCTATGCTGAGCCCTGCGTCAAATAGTCGCTTTATTTATTTATTTGCACATAGGAATGCCCCTATGAAAAAGAAAACAAACAAACAACAAAAAAAACATAACAGTCAACTCCACAGCACCTAATCAAAAAAAGGTGTTAGTGTGTTTTCAGGTAGTCTCTCAAAACTTTTTTGTACATTGCGAGTTTAGCCACGAACATTCTCTTCCTCAAAAGTATATCTACATCATGTGCCACTCGGCACGTGAAAAAGTGTCTTCTGACATCTCGCCTAGCCTTTGGTAACACAAGCTTTCTAAGTCCACCTCTAGTATTCGAGGATCTAGTCACAAAAAAGTTACTCAAATCAAGCTTGTATGTTCCAAATATAATTCTGAGCACCGTGATAAGATCGAATTTCTTTCTTCTATAAGCAAGACTTGAGAGCTCAAGATTTGCATTATGGACTTGACTGCATGGCATTTGATCATAACTGAAACCAACCGTCCTAATCAGTAACTTTCTTGTGAAACTATTTTGTACTTTCTCCAAGTAGTTGATTGCCTTTTGGGTATGTGGACTATAAATGGCGGTACCATATTCTAACATTGGTCTAATAAAGGTCTTGTAAGCCTTCAAAAGAATATTAGGATCTGTACATGACAATCCTCTGTACAAATTGTAAATTGCCACCGTAGCCTTGTCTGCAATTACTTTACAATGCTCATCAAACAAAAGACTACTTGGGACCAGAAACCCCAAGTCTCTAATTGAGTCACAGCTGCAAGTGGGCTACTTCCTAAACTGTAGGGGTGGTCTTATATTGCTGGAACCTAAGTGCAGTATTTTTGTTTTTTCTTTTGAAATAGGCAGACCCCATACTAGTGACCAATCAAGCACCTCATCCAATGCATCTTGTAATTGTTTACGTCCAACGTCATCATTTACAGCATTGTAGAGCTTGGCATCATCCGCGAATGCGCTGCAAGAAACTCCTTTACATAGTGGTATGCGCAAAAGCTCATGAGTAAAGATGTTGAAGAGAGTAGGCGATAGAACACCCCCCTGTGGAACCCCACACTGCATACTTCTAGGGGAAGAAAACGTGCGATTGACATGGACCATGAACGTCCTCTCACCCAAGAAAGCTTCAGTCCAAACTACAATCCGTGGATGTATTCCTACGGCTATAAGTTTGGAAATCAACTTACTGTGAGGGACTTTGTCAAATGCTTTCGTAAAATCTAAATAAATCATGTCAATACTCTGACCCTTATCTAATTGTATTGTCCAATCGTTGACAGCTTGTAGCATAGCGGTAACAGCAGATTTACCGCTTTGAAACCCGTGCTGCTCACTCGCTATTACCTCATAAGTCTCTAAATGCTTTACAATATGCCTTTTCAATATTTTCTCAAATAGCCTAGCGAAAATAGACGTTATGCTAACTGTTCGATAGTTTTCTGGACTAGTAAGAGGCTTTTTCTTAGGAATAGGTCTGACAAAAGACACACGCCAGCGATCCGGAATTTCTGCGCGCATGCTCAAACTGAAAATGTACTGAAGTGGCCCACTCAGTATATCTGCTATTGATTTGATAAAACGTAATTGTACGAAATCAGGTGTAATTGAAGTTGACTTAGGCCCCTTCATCAGTGTTTGATAGATGTCTTCACTTCTGAACCATACTCCCTCAGTCATACTTTGGTAACTTGGAGCAGTTTCAATTTCACTTGCATCGTTCTCTTCAACAAATGTTTTAGCGAAAAAGTTTGCAAAATATTCCGCTTTATCTCTATCATTGCATATAACTTCCCCACTATCTCTCTGCAAAACCCTCAGCTCTCTTCTACCTTTGAGTCTCGAATTGATCAGTTTATAAAACGCTGATCTCTCTCCAGATTCAACTACTCTTCTCTCAACAGAAATATTATATTTTTTAAGCAGTTTGGTAAATTTGTTATTCAATCTACAAAATTTGTCATAGTCTCTAGTATTTTTACTAGTAGCTGCCAGCTTCCATGCTTGTTCCCTCATTTAATAAAATTTTTGAAGGTAGTGAGGTATTTTCACACTCCGGAAAGAACTCTCTGCCAAGGGAACATAGCTCTCAATAGTATGATAAAGTATATTGAGAAAAATTTCATGCATTTCATTGACTGTGGAAACAGTTCTGAATGAACCGTACCAGTCTACGCCACTAAGATGCTGTCTCACTCCATCTAGATCTATATTTTTGAAATCCCTATACAAAACATACCCCGCATCTTGTGATTTATAAGGATTCATCCGAAAATAAACTGAAGCATGATCACTTTTCCCAATGGGGGGGGGGGTCCACACTTATATACCTCAACACATCCTCATCATTTGTGAAAATGAGGTTCAATACGTGTTGGCCAAGCGTATGTGACCCCATTTTCTGAGCTAAACAGTGAGGCATACATATTTGAATGAAGTCCTTAGCAGCGAGTGAAACATCTTTCGATTTGGAGGGGTCTGCCCAATTCACATTTGGAAAGTTGAAGTCTCCCATGAGAATGGTGCTTTTGGAACAAGACAATAAGTCTGTAAGGGCACTTATCAATTGTTCGGTGCCAGCGACAAGAGGGTGCACGGTAGACCTAAATCAATGTTAAACTAGCATGGGAGATAACATCACAACATAGTAATTCATAACTTTCCAGTACAGACTCTCTAAACACAAGAAATGAATCAAACTTCTTATTTACAGCCAAGAGGACCCCTCCTCCTCTCTTACCTATGCGATCGCATCTGTACAATTCATAGTCCTTGATCAAGTTGCCAAAAAGAGAGCTATTTAGCACAGTATCATTTAACCAAGTTTGAGTAATTGCCGCAGTGGATGTGTCGCAATTCTCCATGACAAACTTAAGGTGATCTATGTTACTGCAAAGAGAACGTGCATTGGCTAATATACAATTTGAGAGGCTACCCCCAATCCGAGGAGTCAATCGACGTTTAAAGAATCTGATCTCGGCGTGCTACGATCAACTTGCTGAGACAAAGCATTTTGATTAATACAATTGACGTCATTTGTTAGTATCGATTGATGATTTGAAATCCTTGTGTTGAACTGCATGCTCCTCTCCTTATGCATCCTGTCTCTCTCTCTTCCTTTGGAAGAGATGGACGGATGAAGATATTTGGTTTGTAAGGGAAGTATTTTAATTTAGGAGCTCTTTTCAACACAAGGTCAACATAGTAGGCAACACCACTTTCATTAGTCTGTTAAAATTCGTTTAGGGTTTTCCCATTCTATAAACTGTCAACGGCCTACACTTAATTGAAAGAAAATCGAGAATTTGATCAACACTTTGATAATCATGATTAATTCTCATCCAGTTATGCGGTGCACGATTTTCTGGTACGTTACTAATCACTAGAGAATGCAGTCTTTCGCGCTCATCACAAGTGCAGAGTTTTGCAGACGTCGAAGTAGAAGAGATTTGGGTGGCTGATTCGGGCTCCGTAGACGTGCGCTCAATAAGTGATCTCAATTGATAGTTTTCTTTGCGAAGAGATTCGATTTCGTTAGACATATTTTTTATCTGACAAACCAACTCACGATTTTGCTCCGCTGCAACCTCGCACAACTTCTGATTCTCTGATAAAAAGGCAAGAATTGTCCGTGCATAGACTGGTACCGTTTCGTCCTTCAGTAGTTCCTCGGCTGCCTGGTCGAAGTTGGGCGGCGTCGCTTCGAACTCGATCCTTCGCTTTTTCTGCCTCTCTTAGGGGGCGAGCGGGTATATTGGGGTCTCAGAAGTCATCAGCATCGAATAATAGTCGAACAGGAAAAGGGAAATCTTCTGAAGTCGAAAAGGCGGCTGAGGTAGGTGACGGGGGCAGAGCGGGCACACGATCGACCGCTCATGCCGGGTCAATGGGAGCTTTACTTGTTGTTTTCCAATGTTGGGTTTGGAGCAAGATCTACCCTACCGAAATCCCACATTAGGCTAATGTTGAACGTCAGATCGTACAAATACCGTATGCGCAGATGAAGACTGCTATAGTCTTGAACATGTCTCAGCACGCTACATAATTTTTTCTTTTCCTTCATAACTAGTCGTCAGTCTCGGATGAGGGAACTTTTGTATAAAAAAGTCATGCCCTAGGGTCCTGCACGTCTGTCAACTGGGTCCAAATTGTTACTTAACATTCTACTTCTAAAGAAGACATTGATTTGATTGATCAAAAACCTCAGGTAAAAGCTTCCGGATGGATGAATGTGTTAGCCTCAGATATTCAAATGAACGTTTCCGCCAAAGCGATAGCCTTTGATGATCGACCTCAAATCGAAGTCGGAGAGTGCGAAGCAAACGTTGGAAATTTTGATCTTGAGTGGGTTGAGAATCATCATGTCCCCGTAGAGGGAATTTCTTATTTAGGATTGGAGGCGGTGTTCTGCCTTGGTTGGTTAATCTATTCCGAGCTGATGTATCGCGTGCAGTTCAAAAAACTATTCATGAACAGGTAACTACTGTATTATTGGTGTTTACTGTGAAAAAAAAACATTTTTTTAGGCCTGTGAGGCTGCCCAGTCCATTCTGCTTACCAATTTTAACAATTTTCTTCTTTCCTTACCTCTGCACCTACCAGTTGGTCAAGATTTTTATGTCGACTACGCTGTAGAGAAAAATCCAAATTTTACGAGGTATGATTATTGATGCGTTTGGAAGATTTGTGTCATTTGTCATCATAAGTGCAAATGAAAAAATTGACGAACCATGGATATATGAGTAACAACAGCTTTTTCATTAGTATAGGTATTTTCCTTATGTGAGGGGAAGGGCGGAGAAGAGGAAAAACTGGGGGGGGGGGAGAAGAAGGACAAAATTGCGGTGCCAGTGAACCAGTAATTAAATGAGCTAGATGGCATCCGCACGCTTCGGGAACCGCACCTCTATTTGATGTTTGAATTCCCGTTATCCTTCCATACCCATTTGCAAACAAAGCATCGTACTTTTCAAAGTATATACTATCACAGCACAACAAAAAGGAGTTTAGTACGAAATGTACCAAAACGCTAGATGTATACTGACGGTATTTTATTATTCTCTTCAGCAAATATGTCGAAGCTGAAGCTGCCGCCGAGATATTATACGAAGATCACTCGTGTCATCCAGAAAAAATTGAAGGATGGACAGGTATGATTTTTCAAAATTATTAGAAAATATGCATAGGCTGGTGGCTCAGGCCTAAGGCCTAAGGCATACCTTGCGCGATTCCGATCGCTACGCGATTTGGCACAATAGCGACTCTTCGTTATTCGTTGTTGATGCGCTGCCTTTGGTCAGAACTTGATGCCTTTGCAACAACTTACACAAGCTACCCAAATATGCGTTCGAGAAGCACGCACGATAGATTTGTAGAAATCTGGCAAATCGCCAAGTCCGTGAGGTATGCCTTAGGAATTAGGCCTAAGGCATAGCTCACGCGATTCGGCTGAATCGCCACTCGACTTGGCGATTTGCCAGATTTCTACAAATTCATCGTGCGCGCTTCTCGGATGCATATATGGGTAGCTTGTCTAAGTTGTTGCAAATGGAGCAAGTTCGGACCAAAGACAGCGCATTAACGACGAATCACGAAGAGTCGCAGTTGTGCCAAATCGCGCGAGGCATGCCTTAGGCCATAGCTATATTTGGAATGGATTTAAGTTTGAAATATTGAGCTTACATGAAAGCAGAAAAACTTTTCTCTAATTCATAAATCAATCAAGCACACGTCAAGCCGTAAAAATGGGTAGAATAGTCTAATCTAATTCGTTTCAGAAGCCGGATTGATACCGAAAATGGCAGTCACCTGGATGAGTGAAAGCGTTCCAAATTGTCTTCTCAAAAGTGCACATGAAGGAAAGCTTGTCAAGTTCACTGTCACCAAGGATTTTCCTACAATTGGTCCGCGTTTGAAAACAAGGTAATGTCCATTTTTTTGAGAAAAAGTGTTATCTAACCTGCATAAATCAGGTGGCGAGCATGAGGAACGATAGCTGGTAGGTGTGAATAACTCGCGCATTACCGTAGTTTTTGTCTATCAGCACGCAGAAATCTATAGCATTTCTCCTACTACACTTTCATTTCAAACAGGGGAATGAGATAGATTCCGTTCACTTGGAAATGAGACGTGAAAATATGTTATAAATATCAAAAAGGGGTTTCAAAGGTGGAACTTCAAGTATTTTATTTTATTTTATTTTGTTTTTATTTTACAATCACTCGAGAGGTGTGCCAGAAACAAAAACGAAAAGTGGAATGAACAGAAAACATAACGCACAGAACAAACATGATTGCCAGTAACAGGGATAAAATGGATAAAATGTGAGGTAAACAGGGCCGCGGATAAACGGCTATCAAGCTGTCCACTTAAAGAATAAAAAAGCAGAAGGCAAGGCTGGTCAAAGGCTAGACTTCAGCATCTTGCTGTCTCAATGAATCTGACAACTCCGATTTGGTGTCAGCGAGCCTACGAGCGGAGGGCTTGCTGACTTGGCCCTGACAAAGAATAGCCTGGGAGAAGGCAAGATGTGGCTGAAGTACTAGGCATGAAGATAAGGCAATTAATATTGATGACTTTTTACATGATCTGAGGTAAGGCTAGGGGTGGTAAGGTGATTAAAGGCAGTGGCTCGGCGAATCCCATCCTAGTCAAATTTGCGCTTACCTGAGGTTTTTCAATACGCTGATCCCGAAAATCCACTTTTGAAAGCTTGAAAACGGCGAAAATGGGCGTTTTTTAATGCCCTTCCCTTTGATATTGGACGAATGGAGCAAGGCCGATGACGCTAAATCAGGCCGATGACGCTAAATCATGGCAGGATCCAATGGTTATAGCGTTGCGGCGGGCAGCCTCTAATGGTGAGGAGGAGATTGCCAACTCGTCCAGATGCGTGTAAGATTGGCCTGCGCGTGTAAGTTCAAGAGCGATTTTCTCGGCAGGGAAAGCATGCTGTGCAACTGGGAATGCACTGTTTTCATAGTTGGGCGATAAGGAACCTACCGCGTTAAAATCCCGAGTTGTTGGATTTTGCCGATCCATTGCTTTTAAGTTTCCTTGATATACGACAAGCTGATAAAACTAATCATGGTATAGCACTGCAGCAACAAAACCACTCTCAGTAACATTCAAAAGGTGGAAAAAGAAGTAGATGGCAGCATTAACAGGCAGAACCACAGCACATCCGAAGCGATGCATCAGTCGGGAAAACGACGATAAGACTCGTGCAAAAGCCAGTGAGCTTTGAAGAGGGAAGCCATGGCAAACTCAGCAGCAACTGATTGACTATAAGGCTGAGGGACATCGGGTTTGAACGAGTCTTCTAAAAATCAGGTATTTTTGGAATCTGAAGTACATCAACGTTTTGCAGTCTTCTACGAAAGATGGTAGAATTTTCACTATTTCAAGTTTATCAGAATCCATGTCCGACTTCTTGCTTATAATATCGTTATGCTAGAAATTTCTTCAAATTCGTACAAATGTGTAAGATCTAGATCTGAGATTGCTTTCCTTCTTCGTTTTCTAATCCAGTCAGAATATTAACAGGAAAGCTTACAATTCCAACCATTAATTGGCACTTAGGTGCAAATTTCATAGCGATTCCAAACCAAAATCTTAGAAATTTCAGTAAAATAAGATGATACATTTCATGAGCTCTGTCAAGGGTTTTTGTAAACAGAGAGAAGGGTTTCCATTGTGATTTATCGACTGAATAATTTTCAGCTGTTCGATTTTCTCCATCTGCATTGGTCGATTCTTCAAGAAACTCCGAACGGATTATCCGGACCAATATGTTGACCTGCACTTTCATACATACGAAGCTCCTTTTGTAAAAATGCAAGATGATGATGTAAAAATCAATGTCACTTTTGCTGTGGACTTCTACATCAATCCGATGAAGCAACACCTCAAGCCTCTGGCTAGACTAAGTGAGCAGCATTTTTTTTTCAATTTTTGAAAGAGATGCTCCTTTTTTTAGTACTTTCGTCATCATCCACAGTAATCCCAGAAATCATTCGAAACAAATTCTCTGGCAATTTGACTGAAACTACTGACGATATTCGAGAAGATTTTTCTGACATTGGTGAAATTCCTGAAACGTAAGTATTACATTGCAAAAATTGTTTTTTTTTACTTCGTGGTTATAGGTTTTTGAACCTTTTCAAGAAGTTATTCACAATGACAAGTCGAGTCATCGTCGAGTCCATATTGCATAAAGGAGTTCCAATTCCAGTATTTGACAATGTAACGATATCAGGTCAGTATGTATACTATGCACTTGAGCCAGTGCCAACCCGGTACGATTAGTATGATTGTGAAGCTTTAGAAGGTATGAAATTAGATCTTTTTTCAAGATTTTACAACTAGTGTATGCCATTTTATATATTCAAGTTAATTTTGAATTTTTTCAGGATCATCCGAGATTCGTGTCTTCAACAAGTATATCCGTTTAAATGCTGATTTTGAGTTCGAATAAATAATTTTTCATTGTAGGTGCACAGCATCATACAGTCGAGTAGATTTTCCGTTTAATATAGTGTGCTTGCACTGAAGGTGTGCGGCAAGATTTGCGCGTGAACAAGTAGCCACGCCAGTAATGCCAACATTTTGCGCGCGCAAATGGCCGGCGTCACAGGCGTAGCTGTTTTTTTACGCGCAAATTTTACCGCATTTCAGTGCAAGCACACTATATTAAGCGAAAAATCTACTCGAGTGTATTTAATCAACCAAACCGCGTCTCTGATTTGATAAAGTTGGGTTTCTTTTCTGGAAAATTTCTCGGAAGTTTTTTGTTCTGAGATTGTTTTCTTGCAGAGAAATTCACAAATCTAGTCAAAACTTGCGACATAATAATTTTTGACGTTTCCCCAAATGCGTGAAATAAAATCACGGACACAGGACCTGGCACGCTGGCGCGGACAATATGGGGTATAGGGGCAAGCTGGATATCGTTTTTGGGGTAAAAAGCAAAGCGGATATCGTTTTTGCGTCGGAAAAGACCGAAAATTGCGACGTTTTTTTAGTCGACTTTTCGTTTCTTGAGTGTTTTTTTTTACATTTAGGGTATAGGGTCAAAGGGAGATTCGCAAAACTTAGCGAAAATCAAGGGGGAGTTCGTTTTGAAAATTCCGCTGTGCCAGTTCATGCCTGCATGGACATTGCTCAAAATTGATCTATGATGCTTTCCAAGATGCTGATTACGAATACTGCGTTCATCTGGCAGGTAAGCTGTCTTGTGAAGGTTACGGTAGGTATATAGTGGTTGGGCAAAGTGCGATTCTGAAGTCAGTAGACTTAGTTGAGTGGTGATTTGTCGTTTTTGTAGATGTACAGTTCCAGCTTAATCTCCTTATAAACCGGTAGCGTAACCATTATATGGTAACTCGCCATCAGCGCTCCAATAAAGGGTCGGGCATACTTCACGCGATTTCATTCGTGACGCGATTTGGCAATATTCCAACCGTCCATAACTCACTGTAAGCACATTTTGAATGTACATAAGATAGTGCATTTCATCAGTCCACATAAGTTCTATACACTATGCATGTGCAGTTTGCTAGTGTTGGATCTGAAGACTTCTGGCGAATTGCCAAATCGCTTCGCGACTGAAATCGCGTGAAGTATGCCCGACCCTTAAGTCAATCATGCAAAATTAACTCTTTGTCTCCAGCACTTCAACAACTTCTCATGAGATGCTTTTGAGAACTATATCAAAAGTTATCACTTCGTTTATATACCTGGCTACCATGGTGCTTCATTCATTGTTATGTTTTTGTTCGGACAGATTGGTGTTACCTATGCTCTTTTTGTCTGCGCGGCAGCCATTAAATGCTATAGAGGTATGTTTTGCACGTCTTCAACTACTCTGAACACACCAACAATCTTGAACGACCCACGAGTTTTTCTCCATACTATAGGGAGCCTAGAGAGTCGGGCATACATCACGCGATCAGTCGCGACGCGATTTGGTAATTCGCCAGAAGTCTTCAAATCCAACACTTGCAAGCTGCACATGCATAATGTGTATAACTTACGTGGACCTGTTAATTTATCCTTTTTTCTGTACATTTAAAATGTGCTTACAATGAGTTGTGGGCAGTTGGGATATTGCCAAATCGCGTCGCGACTGAAATCGCGTGAAGCATGTCCGGCCCGTAGGAAGAAGCTATTTGGTAAATTGACACAAAATGCATCAGCAACCATTCAAGTAACGGAGCATTCACTTGCTGAGGAGCTTGCATTGAGTATCGTGAGGCTCCCGCCAGAGTGCCGAAATTATGCCAGCGCTACGCCAGCATTTCGATCGATACACGTGTATTTCGTTAGGGACATCTACCTGCTGAGCTAGCCCCGCCCCAACGAAATACACGTGTATCGATCGAAATGCTGGCGTAGCGCTGGCATAACTTCGGCACTCTGGCGGGAGCCTGACAAGCGCTGTTGCGGCTCGTTGTGCTCAGCATCTATCGCAGTGCTCGTCCGCCTTACAAACCCCCTTAACCCCTGGACCTTACGACCCCTCTCCATTCCCGCTAGTATCCTTCATCCGAAGACGAACCATAATTCCTAGCTGCGCACTTCCAAAATCGAGAACTCAACCGCTTGAAAACCATCCATCTGCGGGTGCTGCTGGAGGCGCTGCTAGCACAAAGAACAAACTCGAAGAGGCAGAGACCGCTGTGTGTGCGGCCCTATATACCTCCTGACTTGGCAATGCGCCCAACAGGAGGTGCGGGCGCGAATTGCGGTATCGCGCCCGGTAACACGCTCAAGGCCTTCTTTCACGATAAGTGGTCTGCATTGCAAGCCGCGACAAGCGCAGAAGGCTTAAACTGACGATAACAGATAGGGTTACCTCAAATGACGATAGAATTGACATGTCGCAGTACAAGAAGCTCTGTAGAATGGGAGCTATTGCAGAGCTTTGTGCATAGCAAAATTAATTGCCCGATTCCCAGATGTACAAGCCGCCCATTTGTAGGCTACTGTATGACGAAGGTGCGATACCTTTGGGCACGAACGCGCTTTATTAGTCGCAAAATGCATGAGGCGCAGCATCTACAACGGTGAAGATAGGCGTGCGTCGCGTTTGCGCCCGCTCAACTAATGCTGCTTCGCTCAATGTGCCGCAAGAAAGCTTGCCTAGGCTAGAATGGCACCGGAAGGTGGGGGAAGGGGAGGGGGGGGGGGGGTTAGCGGCATATACAAGTATGCACAAGAGTCTTTCTTTCAATAAACCCGTAGTGGGTACTGGCTGTGGCCATGATAATTAGAAAAAACTACTAAGTGGGAAGCGTTAACAAATATTATTAGAACGAGAGCTTTTCTACCAGTCGATCTATTTTTATCGCAGCGCCCATACAACAATGATGCTTCATTAATCTACCATATCCATCATCGAACTTCAACGGTGAAGTTAACTAGACATAAAACTAGACATTCCTTATCTGATACTACTTCCAACAAAATATTAGAAACACTAACCCAATCTTTTGTTAGAATCAAACATAGATTGTTATACCCTAAAAATAAAAACTTAGCTCCTCCTCTTCTTAATATTAGGCAGCTACAAAAATTCTTTATCTTTTGCCCACTAGATAAACCAGTTCTAATTATGGTATTATTTGTAAAAAGCTATATCTTTCCATCTTAACTAAAGAAATGAATCTTCAAAATGACGTACAAGACACACTAGTATACGAATTTTTGGGTGAAATTAATGTTCAAGATATCATTAGAAAACATAACAGCCTGGCCATTGACCTTCACCTAAAACCAAATGTTGACGGAATTATTCCTAACATATATTGCATCCCTAAGCTTCATAAAAATCCAATAAAATTCAGATTTATAACTGGTGCAAGTAACAGCAGTATTAAGCCTTTATCAGAAGAACTTATGCGCATTTTATGTTTCACTAGCTGGCATACCCGGCTTCGCCGTATGTTCCGAATAGAAAATTCCATTTCTTAACCGATCCGAACCAAACTTGGCACACATACACTTCGGGCCCCGGCGGGTGTCACAGTCCACTTTTCGTTATCGATTGATGTCGATTTTATCGATTTTTTGCAAAATTTGAGCTAGGGGGCTGGGATTTGGCACAGGGGGGTAATCGAGCATGCTGATTACGAATACAATATTTGTTTTCAAAACCGTGCACTACTTTTATCGGTTTATCGATTTTTTTGCAAAATTTGAGCTAGGGGGCTGGAATTTGGCAGGGGGTGTAATCGAGCATGCTGATCACCCCCACGGGGATGATCAGCATGCTCGATTACCCCCCTGTGCCAAATCCCAGCCCCCTAGCTCAAATTTTGCAAAAAAATCGATAAAATCGATAAAAGTAATGCACGATTTTAAAAACTAATATTGTATTCGGAATCCCCATGCTCATTTACCCCCCTGTGCCAACTCCCAGCCCCGTAGCTCAAATTTTGCAAAAAATCGATAAAATCGATATCGATCGATGACGAAAAGTAGCCTATGACACCCGCCGGGGCCCAAAGTGTATGTGAGCCAAGTTTGATCCGGATCGGTTCAGAAATGGAATTTTCTATTCGGAACATACGTACAGACAGACAGACAGACATACAGACATACAGACAAACAGACATTCAGCTTTATATATAAGATAAAAACACACTTTGAAAACTATGTAAATATAGTATACACCAATAAAAATTGCTTACCAACATACTGGTCCATCAACGACATCAATATCTCATACATTCTTAGTAAAATAGTAGACACTAATCTACAACTCTATTCCGCAGACTTCACAAACATGTTTACTAATATTCCACATGTTGTTATCTTGAAAAACATAAACGCTATACTCAGAATATCTACTGGTCATACACGACATGGAACAATCACAAGTACAAACAATATTACAAAATACTTATAAAAATATTCTTGAACTAAAAAGCACCAACAGTAGCAATTTCGAATGTGACTTTCTGGACTTAAAAATATGTATAGTTGAAGGCAAAATTATTACCACTCAATATAACAAAACGGACAGTTTCAATTTTAAA